AATACGACACTGCTTACTGTTGCATCCCCTTGATATGACGTCGAAGGAGTAGCCACTGATACAACGAAGTCGCGTGCTGCTGTGGCTAGGCTGTCTCGAACCATGATACTATTATATTCATATCTCACTAGTCCCTATGAAATCTGCATACGACTTCGATAAACAAGAAGTCATTCATGAATCCATAGTCTTCCCAAGGACAAATCATTATGAATTTTCCACACGGCTAAGAACATTTCCCCCTTATTATCACACCCTTGAGAGCGTTATTTCTCGAAACTGGATGAGCCTACCTGCATCCTTGCCATACCGTCTAGCTGCCGCTTTAGAGACCTCGTCAGCAGCAACACCCTCTAGGTCCGACTTAGCCGATGATAACCCAGAGAGGACCTTAGCTAGTCCAGTCACAGCAGCACTACCGACCTGACCACCAACAGAATACTACTACTACTACTACTACTACTACTACTACTACTACTACTACTACTACTACTACTACTACTATTATTATTATTACTACTATTACTACTATTACTACTACTACTACTACTACTACTACTACTACTACTACTACTACTGTAATCGATAAATGATACAAAAATGCAAACAGCATGCTTCAAACAAGATGATATATATACATGCTCAACTATGAAAATTAAAATCGTTACAGAACTTGACACGGAATGTCTCCACCAATACTCCGCTATCGCTGTTGATTTTCTCCGGGCCATACTGAAGACAACGTTAGTTCATTTTAGACTACAACGTGTGAATGAATGTCGTACACAGGTGTTGTCAAATTCTTGTGATACTACTCGTCTTCCTTTCCTAACCCAGCGGATGGTTTATGATTACTCTATCGATCATAAATTGAAGACCACTTGTCCAGTTGTATTATCCCAACACTACTACTCTCAATATCTCTCATGCATATTTAACAAGTACCTTCCTACCCCCGAATCGACATGCACTATAACCACCAAAATGTGAATTACACGTCATGAAGAAATACCCGAACTATATAGACACTTTCTCCAGCGCTCTACCGAGTTCAAACTTAATTTATTTCCCACAGAGTTCACAATGTTTTCTATATCCCTACTTTATCAGCAGCAGTGAAGTTATCATCATCCTTCATCTCCTCTCGCAAGCCCTGTAACTACCAACAACAACAGCAGCACCCTTACGTTCCATCACGCCCAACACTGCTACTTCATCCCCTACCGCTGAGCTCCCCGCGCGGACTATATAACCTCCTACTGTTCCCACTGCCGAGTTAGCCGCTGATGCTATCGCTCCTGTAGCTGTCTTCAACCCCTCTGAAATATCAACTCGATGCCAATCGAAAAAAAATGCCCTCTATCTCATTCAAATATTTACTCCCGATGAGTGTTCTAGATCAACATAGTCTTCACCCTTCACATTGGCATTCCCCATGAACTCCATGAAAATCTTGAGCAGAAACGACCACCCCTACCAATAACAGCTTTCGCGTCTTCGTTATCATCACTCGAGCCCGGCTCCTCCACTACTGCTGAGTCTTCAGGGAACGTATAATCTGAAATCTCAGAGAATTATGGTTAAATTACTACGAGAGGAATCACATTGCATTCATATAAACTTCATTACACATCGAGTAAAGAGATTTCCGATTAACATAATAATGGAGTTTCACCCGTTTAACGTGAAGTGGTGTAATACTCCACGAAAATTATAGGACGCATATGTTTTCCGCGACAACCGATAACGCACTTGTTTTCCGCGATGTGAATTGTGAAATATATTTTTCCCTAGTGTTTTTCATATCACGGGCGAAACTCCACTACACTGTGCGTGCGCCTTCTTCTTGCAAATGCATGACAATTTGATTTCTCGGAAAATACGGCCAATTTTCATCTAATCTTCAGCATATAACAAGTAGGAGTTTGGTTGGCCAAATCGAACTCCCGATCGATTCATTGCGGCGTGTGCTAAAATGACCGTGCGCATGCGTGCAAATTCTTCAAGCAATTCTGTTTTCCGCAACCCAATATAACCCGTGAATCCTCTCATGAACTCTTCAAGTCGTCCAGCGCCAGATTGGATACACTGTGCAGCCCAGTCGCTGTTGTCCAATATCCCCGCTGCAATACTGAGCAGGGGGGAAGCACTCAGGGGAGGTAACAGGCACCGTAATAAGCTTACTCGTCGGGGCTCGGCCAGTCCTCATCGGAGGTGGTCATATCCTCATTAGATGATTCACATGCTACTCCATCATCCTCATGGGAGCTACAGGACTTTGCTGTAGCGGACTTCCCATGGGCATCACCATCATCACCATCACGCCTGAGCCGAAACACTACTGCTTGGAGGTCACAAGTCAACATACCTGTTGCCTTCCTCCTTCTTGGTGATGGTGGTGGTGGTAGAGGTCTCCTCTCGAGGAGGAGGACTGCCATTGCCTTCCTCCTTCATCGTGGTGGTGGTGGTGGCAGAGGTCTCCATTCCATCTTTCTGTAGTTCCACTATAAGCCTCTCCTTCCCTACAGACAGACGAGCCCAAGTCTCAAGCCGCTGCAGTTCATCCAGACCCGTCACTAAAGGTACCTACAACAGTACACTTTTGTCATGTGCATGCGTGCATCGATCACCCCAATGCCAACTGAAAAATCAAACCGTAAATTGTAAAGCACACTTCATATCAATTCACCGAGAAAAGAACAAAACACGACGGAGTTTCACCCGTTTTACGCAAAGTAGTGTAAAACTCGGTGAAAAACGTGATATTCGCGGTGATATGCAGTAGTAGTCGTGAAATATGTTTTCCACTAGAGTTTTTCATATCACTAGGGTGGCCGTGAAACTCCAATATAGATGATGGTGTACTAGGTCACAATAATTATACAATACTAGTCAACCTCAAGAGCACCAATTGCAAACATACTATGCCCAATCCCAAACTCACTTTGATAAGCACAGTAGGTCGTCGTCGTCGTCGTTCACCCTTTGCTGGTGCTACACACAAGTCCCCAACAATCACCTCAATAGAGTTCTCGGCCCCTGTAGAGCAACATGAGACCTCCAGACACCCTGCACCGCTCGCCGCCCACCTATTCGATATCTAATCCCTTCAAAAATTATCTCTCGTGGTTTACTCGTATTAACGCATACTATACCCTTCTTAGCATCATTCGACGAGTCGCCGAGAAGGCAAACCTACAGTATATCATCATCGTCAATATGTAGACCACCAACATTAGCACTCAGTTCACCAACCGAACTGTGCGATCAGCAGCGCAACCTGCCCATACTGCCACACCTATCTCTCTCAAACCGGCGAGGGTTCGATCCCCCCATCCAACTACTTCAGCGTTTTCAATTATACTCCAACCATACTTATCCTTCATCACCATATCACCACCGCCCCGGTCCTCATCCATCTCACTCACACCCAGAGGCATCCCCAACGGCATTAGAGGATAAAACATTGAAGACAAACCCCTGGAGAAAATATCTAGTTCCATCAAAACCTACGGAATTTTCATACAAATACGAAACAAGTACAAACCTAACCCATGAATGCGATCGCATACACGTCGGCTCACAGAGTCCATTTAACCGTCCTGGCTCACTCCAACTCGAGTACTTTATTATAACAGAAAAAGCGGCTGTTAGGACACCATCGGATCATAAGGTGAGCGGTTCTCAGCTCTATAACAACAACAACGATACTAACCGCTACTCATCATATCAATAACAGCCATAGAATAGTAGCAGTAGCAGCAACAGGAGAAAAACAACAGTAATAGTGATAGCAGCAGTCTGTGCAGTGCTTTATGCGTAACAACAATGTAGTTCAGGTTAAACAATAAGAAGTCGTTATTGACTTGACGGTCCTTCAACGGGTCCAATACGTGTCTTTACATCGTCCCAGAGACTATGACGGTAAATCAGACCAGGATCACTTACTACTACTAGGAGGAGGACCAGTGTGACCAGTGAATGTACATTCCTGTTGACTACCAGTTGAGGAAAATCCATAACATTATTCCGTCACACCTAGGTTATGATATAACATGTTGTTAACCGTGACAGACGCTTTGGAGAGCACAGTACCAGAGCGGTAATAACAGTAGAGTTCTTGCCACAAGTGCAGAAGCGTTATCACACTAGTAGTAGTAGTAGTAGTAGTAGTACGCAGCATTAATCATCGATACAAAGACAGCCCCATGTGAATGCTATCGATAGCCCTCAAAGCCAATACCCCCGCGCTCTCCCTCGGGATTGCCAACGCCTCACATTTCGTTGCTTGCGACTCACAGCGTTCACTCGGCCCTAAATGTATCGTCTCTGTACAGGCAGGCTCATGCTCGGTAGAATCAGTAGCAGTAGGAGAATCACTTCCATCTTCAATTTGGTATATTATAGTAGGCGCCTTAGAAATTACAATAGAAGGCGTCTCCTCCTCCTCCTCCTCCTCCTCTTCCTCATCCCTAACACACCAGGATAGCCCCACCACATTATCAACGCTGCCTTGCCCACCTGGACTGACTTAGGTCATCATGATCACCAGAAACCGGGTGGTTGGGTGACTCTGTGGGAACTTCCCTTTCAAGTGCAAAACCTGAAATACATAGGCTTACCTCTAACACGATTCCTCTAATATTTTTAAATATTGCACGACACATGATATCACTACCATATAACAATGCATACAACTCTTACGAATTCAGTCAATGTAGCTCAACCGAACCAAATACGTGTATGTATACGTGGTTAACGTATGGTGCCTACCTATGCATGTGTTAGTATCGAGAGCCTCCGGTCCCATACGAGGAGTGATATCATGTATCGATATATCTGAACTCAGTAATCACCCTCAATCGAATGACGACTTGAACCCACCAGTAAGAGTATCCATAAGATTCCTCAGCTTCCCACTCGCCGTTCTGTCCAGCCCTTTCAAGGGGGCCGCTGCAACGCTCATTGGTGTACTGATGGATGCCAACCTAAATGTGAGTCACTTTAGGTGACCATCATCAGTTCACATTCATACCACAAATATATACATGAATACGTCATGTTGTATTCTAATCTAACAATTTCCAAATATAATATACTATATAAGTTCGCCAAATTGTGAAATATGCGGTTCGGTAGTCCATCTGCGAGATGGACACTTATATACCAAGTCTACAAAAGCCGCTTACTAAACTCGATACACCCCCTGAGAGTCGAACCCACGACCTGCGCGTCAGCAGACTAAGTGCTCTCCCGCTATACCAAATATACCACTCTAAACCGACTCCAAGCCATGTCAACTAACCTATAGTTTTCTCCATCATCGCTCGTTCCCCTAGATGCTGTAGTGTCTGCTGAGACACTACTCCTCTTGCGATCATCCATACTGAACGGTGTATTAGTGAGGACCCTCGACGCCGCTGTAGATGATGATGACGACGATGGTGATGGTGACGACGCACCACCTTCATACTTCTCAAACCACGAGTTGAACCACTCACTCGCCCTATAGCAACACGATTTGCAAGAAATGTGGTACAATACTCTTACGCGTTATATATCTCATCAGCCACCTCAGCAGCGCCACTGGAAGCATCATGCTCCTCTTCCTCCTCTTCCTTATCGTCTTCTTCTTCGTTATTGTATGTATGACCAATTGATAGCTTAGCCCAAGTGAAAATGCGACACAAGTCAGCTGTCTCTGTACAGGCTGGTACCTATATTATGGTATACATTTATTAAATTCAAAACACCCGATAAATATTGGAGTTTCAGCCGTGATATGAAAAAGACTAGTAGAAAATCCATTTTACGACTACTGCATAGCGCGAATATCGAGATTATTCGTGATACGACGACATATAAATTCTAACCCTCTTCATATCACAACCGAAACCATATATTCACTCACGTTTATAATAGTAGATCTTCGATCAGAATACCGGGTACGTGATAGAACAGCTGGGAGGTAGTCAGATGGACAGGCATCGAATCTCCCAACAACTACTTTCACGTAGTCTTCCGGACCTAACAGCGAAAAACAAAGGAATTTCACCCGTTTCACGCGAAGTGGCAACACAATATTCTCGATACGCAATAGTCGTAAAATATATTTTCGTATCACCAGGGTGAAACTCCAATGTTGATAATACTCAATCGCACGCAGTGTTGGAGGAATATATGTTGCCTTTCCTCATCTCAAGAGTTTCCCCGCTAATCATAGGACTTTACATACAAATTCGGTAGAAGTATACAACAATAAATTTCCCCAGATTTTTCATATCATCCACAACACATGTGGTTGACCATGTGCATACTTCCATCTGCATGCACATAAAGTCACTAACGTTCTCTATAATGCACTTATGACAATACAATAACCATGAAAATAACAAAAAAACAAATCCCCGCAGTTGTATAAGCAGATTCTGCCGCGAGAAAAGGAAGTACACTGACTGAGGTTTATTTCAAATGCTAGGGAGAGGCTCGAACCGATCACCGCCATGGTCCGAGTCCTATCGTGAAATTGAGACTAGTACTAGAATTTATATTTCCCTAACAAGAGGCTGATTCCTCGGCAGCTCATGTGCATCCATATGAGTGGAACTAACCCGTCTTGTCGGCGATAAACTCACACACATACCCAAAATAACAAATTCTTATTATGAAAAATTCATACGATAGGTGCATATTCACTTCTAGCCCAGTTGCTCACCTATTGCGAACCGCCGACCCTCAAAGAGCATAGTACGCGGCTCGGCGGTATTAACGCAGATGGTCCCTCTACGAGACCCGGACAACGTGTGTCCGATGAATGTTGAAATCTGACACAATTACGGTATAATTACTATCATCATCATCATGATACACAGCAGCACGCATGCACATGATCATCATCCTCACCTTGACATCATCAATAATGCTCCAGCCATATCTCATACCATACTTTGACGAAAGATCATCATTCTCTTCCTCCTCCTTCTCCCCTTCTCCCACGCTATGATCATCACCATGGCGAGGACAGGGGCGGACATAGTCGCCAAGCATGTGGTAGTATATTGGACCGGAAAACATCCAAGTTTGAAAAAATAATAAACAACTACCATCACACGCACTACGAAGATTCTGCATCAACAACAGGACCTGATCCGTATCTTACCATCTCAACCTCAAGATACCACTACACAAATATCATCTATAATCCGCAATAATCACACTCAAGGTTCCATCAGAAAATGAGAACAATATTCTCCTTCCCGTACAGCACCCCTTCCTCTAGCCAATACAGAGGTCGCTAAGTGTTCTGATTTTCATATTCTCAGTAGCCCTGGGAAACCCCCGAGTAATAATAATAATACTTCATCAGCCCTATAAGAGCAAGCTATCATAACAGAAATATTACAAATTAGAAAGTTACGACTGAAGAATCAAAGCAAACATCAAAATGTCTTTCCCAACTAGAACGAGATTTGGCCGAAGTAAAAAAGTCCAAAGTTTGGCCAAAGTACCCCCGAGTAAAACACATCCTACAAGAACCCAGAAAATGCTCACCCTTTTAAATTTGCAACTGCAGTTCTAAAAGATAGTAAATCCACTAACGCCAACACCTTCTAAAGAATCCTACTGCGCACAGCGAAGAATTTTCCAACAACGACTCATGATACAACCCGATCCCCTCCACTTTGTAAAGTGCTACTCTCAACATGAATAGTCTAGCACTCCCGAAATCTTGCTAATTCTTGCAATCTTGTATTTCCTCAACGGCCAGAACTATATGCTCACTTGTTAGCTTCGACAGCCTCAATAGAGACGTCAGACTCCTCAGCCCGAGAACTGCCCAAGCACACTTGCAATCTACTCCAAACTAACCGTCACGCGCCACGAAATTCATCCACACCGGCGGCCTACCTATCAGCAAAATCATCCAATGCGATTCGCCTGGAAGTTAAAAAAAATTTTCTGAATTCCAACAACACTTCCAAGATCAAGTTCCACATGCGAAAGCTAATCCTGGCATCGCTCTAGAAGCTCAGGAAAGGCCTATTAAACACGCCGTATAATTTAAACAATAAACCACCATAAATTTATTATACCATAATTCCGTCAACTCACCAATCGCTACTCTCGCCGTGTGATGAGACTAAACTCTCCCTCAGTGATATGAATGACACCATTCTTCAAGGAAACAACAACCTGAAACTACACATCACTTCACCCCAAGAAAATCGTCACGCGCCACAAAATTATTTCCAAATGAACTTTTCTGGACTTCCTCCTCTCCAGCTGTAGCACAACCTCGAATGACATGCTGCTGAATGAACACTTCACAAAACCAAGGCGGCAACTAACAGCGTCACGCGCCACAAAATTATCACCCCCGATTCCCAACTTGGAAACACTTTCCATAGAAAATATAACGACTGAACAAACACGTCAACTACAGCGTCACTTCTTCTTGCTGCCTATTTCGAATCATTGATTCCATGTAGTACTCCCCAGCCCTATAGCTACTGCGGACTAAGGGACCACTTGCACAATACCTAACAACTATCATTGGAGTTTCACCCGCGATATGAAAAACATATTTCACAATTCACTTGTGTTATCGTTCGCGGAAAGATATAGTTCACATGGAGTTTTTCGCCATTTCACGTTAAACAGTTGAAACTCCATGAAACATTGATAAGGTGAAAATAATGTCAAAATTTCCCCACGATAGTGACAAGTTTAATGAAAACCCCAAGTAAAATAGAGTTTCACGACTGTGATATGAAAAACATATTTCATGACTACTGCATATCACCGCCAATATCGCGTTTTTCACCGAGTTTTACGACGCCACTTGACGTAAAACGCGTGAAACTCCGAAAACCCAAAAACTACATTGTATTTTTGATACCGTAAAAAACTCTCCTGCGTCAAACTTTCTACACTTGAATGGTAAATTTATGCATAAAATTTCACAACGAAAAAAATTTGCTAAGAAGTATCCCAATTTTTTCCAACAAAATTATTTTCCATACAATGGTTTAATTCAAAATCTAAAAAATGTTCCACAAACGCTCATACCATCATTCGATCTCCTTATTCCGTACGTCATCACTTGAACTTTTCCCTCCCACCTGAACCCCATTTTTTCCGCAATTTTCTTCCACTTGTTGAACTCCTCAGGGGTGACATACCGTGTCACCTTCATATGGTGCTTCGTCGGTTGTAGATATCTATCAATAACAACTCATCGTTATATTCACATAAATAGATGATCCGTACTGGCCAAAAGTCACGACATCAACTCCAGAATCCCTGAGATCCTTCATAGCGTGTTCAACCTGGCAAAAAGGAAATTTTTCCAGAAAAAAATTTACATCAGTTTTACAAGGCTTCACCAACACTACATCAGAGTAGAAGCAATTACAATGTGTTCGATTTCGATAGCTCGAAATTGAAAATGAGTACATAACTGTTGTAGTAAAATCATTTTACTAAAGTGATACTACTATTTATGATATTATTATATATCTGTTGATGGTATATATATTATCAATATACTGTATTGTTATTATAAGTTATAATTTATAACCATATAATTATATTGTAATAAGTGATATAAGTATAATACCGATATACTAATAGGGTGAATTTACTAAAATGTAGTATCACTCTTTATTAATAGTCATACAAATAAAACAGTCACTTCTCGAACGACTCTCTACGACTAATCATTAGTAGGGAGATATCCGCTGCCATTAGTGATGATGATGATGAAGTGAAAGAAATATGGTATGACACTGTACTACCTCGACGTCCTCTTCACCCAAGCCCAACATGATAGACGATTTAGTCAAAAGCTTAGGGCAATACTCTTTCGCCATTTCCAATGTACCTTACATAGGAAAGCATTGAGATGATAGCCAGAGTGGCAAGGAGCTCACGAAGACTCTGTCGATACCCAGCTCTGCGATCTCTTACAGAGGGTGTTAGTCTTTCCACAGTCTCGATGTTATGCGCGTATACATCAAGACCACTAGTCGCTACTTCCTTCACACAGAAGCTGAACCAATAACATATATATAAATATAATAATATATTAGCACTACCTGTCCCCTTTGAAATCGGGCACCAACGCCTCGACGAGCAAATCCGGCATTTTCTCTTTCAGTTTTCTCACAGTCTCGGCAATGTGCATTGATCCTTGATCGAGTACATCATCGCGATCAACACTAGTCAATACCTATAATATACTACGAGCCTCAGAGGACCCTCATGCTGTTAGAGTAGTACTATGTAGCTCAGCTGATTGCCGTCCTCTCCCTTCCACTTCGATATTGTCTCTGCTACAGTAGAAGGCTCACTGGCATCCAATGCTGGAGGCTTCCGACTTGTTTTCACTGCACAAAACCGGCATCCCCTAAGCACGATGTTTCCTATCATTTTACCAACTATAAGATTACACTCACCTTGTACAAGTATCCCCCATGAGCATTATAGTAGCGGTGCCTCCACTCCAGCACTCTCCAATGTTAGGGCATTTTGCCTCTTGACAAACCGTGGCTAGACCAGTAGACTTAATATTGGCCTTCAAGCTATGGTATCGTACGAGACCATCATCCGTTAGTCCCCTGAGGAAGAACGCACATATATCTAAGTGAATAACTCCTGAAACGTAGTTAGAGAACACTAGCGCCACGACGATGAGAAGCTGGGAGTTACGGATAAGTCATTTTAAGCCATTCTGGTTTCCTCAGTGGTCCTTTTGGGGCCCTCGTAGCATGTGTGGCTGCGACTGTGCTAGTTGCGAGTGAAGCAGAGGAGGGAGATGAGCAGAAATGACGAGTGAGATGAAGAAAGGGTTGCATTACAACACAAAGACAAGCGGAAAAACAAAACTGCGCTGAAGTGGGACGGATGAATTTGACCGAACCCCGAGTCAGGGTCCCCGACACCTTTAGTAGCCCTGTGCAAGAGGTTATTTATGAGCAGCTGAGATTGCAATCTTCATGGACAGTGGAGGTTGGAGCAAAACTTAAAATTCCTTGAGTCCTTCGATTGCACAAGAAAGTGTGACGCCAAATCGATGAACAACGAGGGCGCGCCCGGATTTGAACCGAGGACCTGCTGATCTGCAGTCAGCCGCTCTACCACTGAGCTACACACCCACACGTGCTTCTAAGGAATGAGTGGAAGTGTGAGGATAGTTATGGAATTTTTCCCTCTTGATGTCGAATCTTCTCACAACATCTGCTTCTGCGAACCCTTCGACCCATCCCAATAACAGAGATTCCACCTTATTAGCCTCTGCTCAACAATTCCTACTCCTACTATCCAGGGTCGGAGAGTTCCAATTCAAGTTTAAGACTTCCGTTTTCGTTCAGTTTACTTTCCCCATAGATGAAGGTCAAAGTCCTACATCGAGATCCTTCCGAGTTTACCATCACCAAGCCAGGTGGCATCCAGAAGTACCAGCGTAACGCTGATCCCGTCCTGCATCCCTTCGATCGGGCCACAGAGTAGTGATGGGCTCCTCCCAATCTTACTCGGGAGTAATGACGTTTTATAGGAGACTTTCAACTTCGTAGGTATACCAGGGCTTTGAACGGAGCGAAGATACAAAAAATGTTCGCCAAGCCGTTCCTCTGTGCCTTGGAGGGCCACACTGATGCTGTTAAATGCATGACCAGATGCAGGACTGTGATAGCACCGTTATTCACTGGCAGTTGTGATGGCGAGGTATTCCAAACTCCCCAAGAGGCTCTCATATTGAATCCCTTCCTTAGATTCGCTTCTGGAACGTCGGCCAACGGAGGTGCTTCAAGGCAGTGAGAGCTCACGAAGGCTTCGTTCGCGGCCTGTGTACAACCAGTGATGATTCCCTTGTCGTCAGCGCTGGTGAGGACAAGACGATTAAACTGTGGAAGTAGTATTGGGAGAATTAGCAACATGCCGTAACGCAGCCCTCTGTTTCAGGTTCGACCCGGATGAGGCCGTAGGAGAGATGCTAGATGAGAAGTTCAGCACTGTCGGGGCCCTGCAATCGGGTTCGTCAGCTTCCCTTCACAACGACAAGGTGGCTCCTCTACATGTACTCACTTCGGTAATACCGTAATCATCAGCCCTTTCAACCTCATTGACTCCTCTTTATTTTCTAGTCATCTATGCTATCGTCGATTGACGCCCATTGGGGTAAGAGCTCTATGCTAGCCACTGCAGGAGAAACAGTGGATATCTGGGATTACAACCGGTAGTGGTACCGGCATGTTCACATCCCCATCTTTGATTGGCCAGGACAACTCCCTTGTCTACCTACGAGTGGGGCACTGAGGCAACTCTTAGCGTTAAGTTTAACCCATGTGAGGAGTGCCTCCTTGGAACAACTGCCATGGACAACTCTATCGGCCTGTTTGACGTCCGTATGCAGAGTGGCTTGAGGAAGGTATTAACATCGCCTAGCCGCGCTCGTTGAGGGCATTACAGATGAAATACTCATCGTGAAAGACGGTCTATGCTTGGTCTATGGTCATTGGTTATCAACGAGCATAGAACAAGGATGCACTGCTCTTCATAGATCCTAAGGAGCTCTTCTCAAATAGTCTCACCTTCGCGTACTCAGTAACTCAGTGGGCTCTTCTAGTGAGTAGTTATCATCAGTGTGGGAAAGGTGCATATATTCAACTACATGTGTTGGTGATAATGTGAAAATTATGGGGAAATTGCTGGGAAATTCTCATTGGTCTCTGTTGAATCTATGGGCGAAATTATATATAATTAGTGAGGAAACTCCTGATCTCAGCTGAGGAAAGCGAACATATATTTCTCCAACGCTGAACTATCCCCCACTAGGGCGTACGAGTATAGAAAGATATGTCTATGGGAGTCCTATATAATTTTTTGGGGTTATTGGTTGAGGTCTCGCGGAAGATTATGAATTCGTGACATAGCTGGGATATTCCCATTCTTCACATGTGCTTTCTTGAGAAGGGGTTGTTCATTTTCATAGGTGGTTCTTCGTAACCGGAGCAACGCCTTCTGCTGGAACCCCCGTCAGCCCTTACGCTTCAGTGTAGCCAATGAGGACGGCAATTTATACACTTTCGATATGAGGTAGTAACGAAAAGCCGTATAGTAGTCAACAACCTGATCCCATCAGAAAACTGGATTCTGCGGTTTTCATTCATAAAGGGCATGTGCGTGCAGTTCTCGATCTGGACTATAGTCCGACTGGTGAAGAACTGGTCTCTGCCGGCTACGATAAGACTATCAGAATCTTCAACTATGAGACTCAACGCTCCAGAGAGGTAATTATTAATAGGGAACTCTAGGCAAGGGTTGATGGAATTTATAGATTCTACCGTAGTCGACTGAGCTAAGAGTCCATACTTGTGCACTCTGCACTGTAGTACAGTAGTGTACTTTTCTTGAATGTGGAAATGATATCCTCTACAGATTCGGGATCAGTTTCCCTTGCTAGCTGAATTTCACTTGCATCAATAATCAGGTGTATCATACGAAACGAATGCAGAGAGTACTTTGCTGTCAATACAGTGGCGATGGCCGATTCGTGTTTAGTGGCTCGGAAGACTGCAATATTCGAGTGTGGAAAAATGAGGTAGTACCGGGGATCGAACCTGGGTGGTATATCAGCATAATCAGGCTTCGGACAAGTTGGGCGTTGTGAGCAAGCGGGAGAAGAAGGCTCAAGCATATCGCAAGAAGCTAGTTGCGAAATACAAGCACATGCCAGAGATAAGACGAATCGCAAAGTAAGATGATGCCACTACCAGGGATCGAACCCGGTACCTTTCCTTGTCTAGTCACAAGCATCTCCCGAAGGCCATTAAGCTCCGACAAGACAAGATGAACATTATGGATGAGGCTCAGAAGAAAAAGGAAGTGAACAGAGTGAAGAACTCGAAACCCGGCAGCAGGCCGAAGGTCGGCGAGAAGCAGAAACCTATCCTGCGACAGCTCAAGTGATAACATATGTTCTATCACTGTTTATACGTCTCCACACAGAGGAATGGTATTGAGTTGTGGAATTAATCCCGCCAGGATGCGACGAAGGAGTGGTATGAATGTGCTGTGTGAATTGCCTTGTAAATTTCCAATTCCCATCTAATCACATTGAAGCCGCAAACACTTCCCTAAATCAACACCTTATTTTTTATCGAGCAAGGCCTAGTCAAACTTCGCGAATACTGCCGACTCTGCTGTGTGATCATAACAAGAGATGAATGATATCGTATACCCCCTGATAAGCCAATTCGTTAACAAAAGAAAGGCAAAGGAGATAGAGCAGGGTCTGAGATGATAGTATATGTTATAATGATGGTATTAGATTGAACAACGGAAAATAGTTATTGTCATTCAAGAAGTAGCAGCTCAAGGCAACGAAGAACCAACGTCATACGATTGCATCATAGCAAGGAATTCATGGAAATCGATAAAGCCATCACCATTGATATCGAACTCCCGTATGAGCTCAGCTATAGATTGTTCATCCAAGTCGTCGTCATGTGTGGTGGTACCCATGATTTGCCTCCACTCGTCTGAAGATATCTTCCCATCTTGTTTCCGGTCCAGAATCCGGAACGCCTTCTTGCACAGATCAGTGCGGGAGAATGTGACCTGTGAAATTGCCGCTGCTAGAAACTCCGTATAATCAATAGCATCACTCGCGTCCGTATCAATGCCAGCGAAAAGCTCATCAACTTTAGCCTGCTGCATATCGGGTCTCGATTTCTTCATAGCAATTCTGAACTCAGGCAATGTTATCGTGCCCGAACCCGTGATATCTAATGCCTCGAACGTCCTAAAGATCTCTCGAATCCACTCAGAACAACAGCACACTGACAAATTATATGCGATGGCGTTAACCGCAACCTTCCGCAGTTTGCTAGCATGGACGTAGGTCTCGAAGGTCTCCGGACTCAAATAGACCAAATCGGTGCTGGGCCGGTAGCGCTTCATCCAGGGGTGCTCCCAAGCCTCAGCCGCTGTTAACCTTTTACTACAGTCCTTTTCCATAAGGCCTCTTATAAGGTCCTTCGCCTCCTCCGAAACCTGTCCCCACCACTTGTCAGGGAACTCCACACCTTGACTTGTTGTTATCGATTCCAATACCTCACCCGTGGTAGCTCCTCTGAAGGGAGGATAGCCACCGAGCAGGACAAACAGAAGGACACCCAAGCTCCACATGTCCATACCAGGATGGTGCTCATGACCAGCGATGATCTCTGGTGCCACGTAATACGGAGTTCCGACCAGACCGTGGAGCTTCTGAGCTTCCTTACCAAAATCATTCACCAAGGATATTCCACCCACAGGGGCGTCATCAATAGCATCTCGCTGATTTCTGACCATATCAATCTTGGGCAAACCACAGTAGCGGAGCTCGAACCGAGACGCTTTCCGAGATCCCAAGTTGATCTCACCACGGCTCTGATGACCATCGAGGTTTCCCAAGGCACAAGAAGTCTGATGAACCTGAGCGCTGAAACCAAAGTCAATGAGCTTGGCGGGTGACTCTGGACAGGCGGTAGAGAAAAGAATATTCTCTGCCTTGATATCACGATGAATGATGCCCTTACTATGACAGTAGTTCAGCGCTGAGACCAGACCTTTGAGAATGCGGGCCGCCTCTGGTTCTGAGAGATAGCGCTTTTCCAGGAGGTAGTCGGTGAGCTCCGGACCACGACAAAGTTCCATGACCAAATAGAACGACATGCTATCCTCGTAAATCTCATACAATTTGCATATGTTGGGATGATCAAGCCGCCCCATAGCGCCGACCTCACGCTTCATCTGTCGATTGACGATAGCAACCTCTTCAGTGTTGCAGGTTCCTCCGCTCAAAACGGCACTGCATTTTGGGATTATTTTAATAGCACGATGATCGCCTGTGGCGCGACACACTGCCTCACAGACCGACCCCTGCGAGCCGTTTCCAATCACACGCTGCAGTTCATATTCCCTCAATAGCTTCTCCGGACCATGTCGGTGCTTATCACGCCTGTCTATGATCAAAGTCTGGCGTCCTCTTACGAATAGACTGCCAGGTTGATTCTCCCTCTTCAGAGCTCGATAGGCACGTTCGTTAGAGACAGACTCCTCAAACTTCTGATGGGGACTTGCAGCATCCAAACTGCTACCGACCGAGGTCTCCGTACCAAGAGTAGACCTCCGGCGTATAGAACAGAAGCCGTCCGGACAGGACGGCATCTTAGTGTCATTGGTGGTGACTGTAGCCTCAATGCTGTAGTCGTCGTTGAGTGATAGGTGATGGGCCAATGTCATTGACATCAACAACTAATATAAACTGATGGGAGACTCGCAGAATAACAAGTTGAGAACTTTTTCCGTCAATGGTTACTCGCTCGTCAGAGAGCTTAGCAGAACGCATAGCCAGAGGAAGATTTCAACTTAATTTGATTTTGACAACAGTGATCGTCCCGAACGTTATGACTGGAGTGCTGGCAACCTGTAAGGACGAAGGGCCAAACATAGTCGGGTCTTTGTAACGTGTGTGACGCCCGACAACGGAACAGATCAACCACCATTTCGCTAATTTTTATCTCGCAGAGAGCCAAACTACTATTCCAATTTTTGGCGAAATCGAATGCGTGCCCCTCACAAGGAGGCCTACTCAGGAGCAACACCAACCGCCTAGTTCTCTGTTGACAGCGTTTCGCCAGACTTAGAAATGCGCTCGCCCGTACGCGGAAACTTGTCCCTAGTACGTCCCTAGTTATGCCGAGCTTATGTTGGTGTTTCCTATCTCTTAACCGATTAGCACCAATAACGATTCCTCTTGTTTATGTTTTACTGAGCGTTATATTCGTTTTCAGGCAAGCACCATCGGCATTCTTCCAGACTCAAGCCTAGCATGTCAGCCCTCCCGAAGATCCTCAGGTGCGCTGCCTCGACTAACCAATGGAGATCTCCCTCAAGTGGCACTCAGTGAGTGGTTGGAACCGGTAGTTTTCGCCGTCAACCCAACTCCTCTGTGTGCACTGTCTCAACTAGATTAGGAGCCTCGAGGCGTTTCTTTGGAGTTCTCCTCGTGTACCACTCTGTCATCTCGGTAGATCGCTTTGGCAACAGCAGTAGGTGGGTTCCATAAAGCTTCATTTCTCTTCGTCGTAGTATCTTTCCCGAAATTTGCCTCGAAATAGAAATGCCCAAGACCGCTGGTCGCATCATTCCTCCGGATGATGCTGGGGCGGCGGGACTCATGTCCAGCCTGCTGAGGTCGCGGACTTCGCGACGCATCCGGGCGATAACTGGTATGCAGTACGCTCAAAACACTTGGTTGGACGACGAGACGTCAAATTAGGCACCTTTTGGACAATGTGACAACCACTCGTCACCTATCTAAGATCATCACACTAGGTCTGCAGGATGAAAAAACTTAGTGGTCACCTAGAAGAGCCCGGGCTCACTCATTCGTCTCTCGTGACGAATCCTGCAATGCCTGATTCGCAGCCTGAATGCCGTCGAATCTCTCGGATAGTGCTAGATGACGCCAACCATGTGGCGTGTGTATCGCTATCTTATTCGCCTACTTCTGACACGATCAGCTGTGGATGTAGCGACGGTGAGATCGACGTAGCTCACACCCTTCCTCCTGGCTTGATATCATGAAACGATACCACACAGCGCTATGCGAAGGAGAAAAAATTATCAATCTTTGCACGATTCTAGTCTGCCAGTTATTGATGTCAGAGGCGTGCCGCCATGATTTTCGGACTGATTTCTTACCAACCAGCATTCTATCAGTCGCCCCTTTGCGATGAATGACTGTTTGTTTATCAACGCTTTGTGTTTTGCAGTGTCGGATCAACGAGTCACAAATACGGCCCTTCCTGGAGAGACCCTTTCAGTAGTTGACAATGGGGGAAGATGACCGATGGATTGCTGGGCTTTTAATCCAGGAGGCTGAGGCGCGCCGTCGTGACGCTTCCAAAAAGGAGGGGAGAATTCCGGTCAATACTGAGTTCCTCCAACGTAGCATTTCCACTACCAATCATCGAGATCTCAAAGCCGCCGCAGCTGGTAGCAAATCTCATATAAAGTTCTTGCTCATTTTGACGTTATACTCGTCAGATTTGAAACGCACTGCTGCTGAAACTGCCTTTGATCTGAAAGCACGCGAGCTTCGAGAACGGAGATCAGGTGGAAGTCCTCAGCCCAGCTGTAAAAAGCGCCGCTACATTCCTCCATCACGAGGAGATTCCGGCGCCTCTACTGATCATCGGCGAGGGGAGTCGCCTGATGTCGTGGTAGATCTCACAAAAGAATACAATTGGGTGAAACCAGGCCTAGTTGTTCGTGTGCGAGACAAGGCATCTGAACACTTCCGCCAGAAAATGGTTGTCAAGGAGTGCGCTAAGGACGTCTGCACGGGCAAGATCATCGCTTCTGGTGCTAATGCTTCCATCGAAATACGACAAGTCGAGACGGTGGTGAGCAAGTCGCCTGGCAGGTAAGGCATTACCCTATCTCTCGAGAGGTATCGTATTCCCTTTCAGGAACCTCGAGGTCGTTCTACCCTCGGTGCACGATCTTCCTGTGGGGGCTGTAGTTTCGCTCAAGTCTCGACACGCCCGTCAGGGGAAAGCGTCGGTGATCAGCAAGAGTATGGATGGTTTACAGGAGTATTTGGTCCCATTGAACAGCGTATGTGAATTTGCCGACAACAGTACTTGATGCCTCCAATGTTTCGTTTTTCGGGTTCACAGCAACGAACAAGCGAATAGGGACAGAGCTCTGGACACAGTAGGGATAGGAGCTATAAAAATTTCCTTAGCCATCACAAGCGCTTCAACAACACACATTGACTATAAATTATAGTCGTAACTCAAAACTCGCCGCCCGAAAAAGAGATCCCCGAGTTGGTGACTCCCTGACTCCTGTCCAGGGTTCACTGTAATTCTCCGATTATTACACTCCCCTAGGTTTCCTCACTGTATGCATCGAGGTTCAAGAAATCGGATCTGACCGATCATGAGAAGGCCATCCAGAATGGCAAGCGTTCAAGCAGCTCCCTGTACACGTAGCCTTCAAGCAGATAATTGCAAAAAATGAGGCTATTGAGGCTAGTCGCATGGCCGAAGAACTCCTCCTTGTTAATCCCTCGGCCGACCTAGCACTCACTTTGGCTATCAAAGAGGTCGCGATCCTCAAATCCGAAGCTTTTCTTACAATGGGCTGAGAAACATGGGCTCAAGGTCACCAAGCACTGGCGCTCTGTTAATTATGGTTGGCAATTCATCCAAGCGGCACATTCCATACAGTTGGCGGATATTAAGGTCTGACTTAGTGACCATAAATTTGGCATAATAGTAGACGAATCAACCGATATCTCGGTCACCAAACAAATCATTCTCTACATCAAATCGAGGGGTCAGACACATATGTCGGTCTCCGAGATATGCACGGTGATGAAACAGGTGAAGCCATAAAGAATGCTGCTGTGGGCTTGCTAGAGTCTTTACAGTTGCCGAAGGAGCATCTTATCTCGGTCACATCGGATGGGGCATCAGCTGTGGTGGGAGCTAAGTTTGGTGCGGGTGTCTTACTGGAAAACTGGCGAGGCGCCCCTTTGAAAAAAGAGCACTGTATAGTGCATAAGGTAAACCTCGCCACGGGCGACGTATTCGACGCCAAGACCTGTACAGATGGTGATGTCCTACGTGTAGCAGCAGACGTGGAAGCTTGCGTAAGGAACAGCTATCTCTTTTTCAACAGATCAACTTCGAATCGCGAGGAGCTGATTAATATTTCCAAACAGTACGAGCAATTGTATATGCCGAGATCGTGGTGCGAGACAAGGTGGCTCTCTCGACATTCGGCCATGAGATCTCTGTGGCCCGGATTCCGGGCCCCGGAAGACACGCAGTCCTGGAATTTCTCACATCGAATTTGTCACGTCGGTTCTCCAATGAAGCTGCTGTTATTCTTCGAATGCTCGATGAGCAGTCAAACGACTTCGAGGGAGTGTTGGTCCAACACTGTTGGATACCATGCGAATAGTTTACTTACTCTCGATTAGGCTACAGAAAGCCAATATGAAATTTTGGAAGTATTTTTGCACTATCAACGTGCGGATGCTTCGCTAGGCGACTTAATCGACGACATGGAGTCTGATGCTGCCAAAAAATTCGCCGTGTTCATGCGCAAGCGCTTGCGTACACGCATCCCAGCCATGTCAACCGCCCAAGAGGCACAGGTACAACCTGTGTCTCTTGGGTGGCTGACATGGCTTCACATGTCAGGTACACGCCTTCAGGCTCTTGAATCCGGATTCTGAGGCTGCTGGTAACCCTCTGGCTGGTAGCGTTTTTTCGAAAAAGCTGATCAACAGGGCCGCGCATAGCCACTTGTCAATCCATTCGAGGCACTATGGCTGCTCCGAGGAGGATTCCGTCACAGCATTCAACAAAACCAACCGTCGTCTCTCTTGGCAGTCCCATGTGAGAAGGATTTATGATGAGCAGCTCCTTCTTGATATAGAGCTCAAAGAGAAGCCTGACGACAGGCAGCTGAAGATCTACAGACTGGTATTGGAAATCGAGTCGTCCGTGGCGGTTGACTCCTGCGAAGCTGAACGCGGGTTCAGCGCTTTGCAGCGCATCCGCTCGAAAACTAGGAATAGACTGCAAGGTGCCGCTATGTCGCTGTCCATAAACGCGACCCCCGCCTGCGAGGAGGTGGTGAAATTGTGGTCAACAATCAAGCCTCGTCGTAAGAAGGTAGCTGCTAAAAGGGTAACCAAAAGGAATAGGGACGGTATACCAGTAGCTAGCTCTTCGGATGAGGAAGACTTCGTTTACGACGATGTACTTTTCGAAGGGAACACCGACGAGGAATGTGACCCTATTGACGAGGAGCATGAATATAACCTTATGCTGCAATCTGGGTATCTCGTTTTGGAAGAAAGCGACGGGGAGTAAGTGAGCTATTTGTATTGTTTAAGGGCTTTCAGGCCCAAGCGTTGAGCTCGATAAGCAAGCCTTGGGTCTTAGCATATGAACTCGTGGTGTGCGAACAGTCAGCGCCGCTGACTCATCATCTTTTTTTGGTCGTCAGCGGTGTCAAGGTACCTCCGTGGCGAAGGCTCCGCCTGTCGGAACAAAACTTTTCCCACGAATATTTCTCTCGTTGTCAATCACGAGTCCCACTAGCGTTAACGATGAGCTACATTAAATACATAACAGAGTCAACCCCATAAGCGAACACATTCTAATATTCCGCGATCCTGTCACGGGGTAGGGATTTTCCGTTTTCACCTTCACGACAAAGTATACCATTTTCCGCGCGGAAAATTGAAAATGGCCTACAGTGAACTCTGCTCCTGTCCCACATAACTTGCCGCGGGTGGGAGTTATAATGCAACACTATCGACTCCGAGCATATGTGATGGAGAATTACGCTGTGTGAACCGTCTCCTGACGTGTTGGCTTTATTGTGAAAATCCGTTCTGGGCTGGTCACTCGTAAACACAACACACCTTATGAGAAATGTATCACATCAGAGCATGTTTATGGTGATGCGAATGGTGATGCTGGTGTTGATGATGATGGAAATGACGAGCGACAGCAGTGGGTGCATAATCCGACTTGACGTGCGTAACGCCAACCGCAGGAGTGTGGCCACTAGTAGGTGGAGGGAGCGACCAGTCGAACGGCAGTGTGTTGTGAGCCCTCAGAAAATCTCTGAGTTCCTCTGGTGGTAGCGCACTACGACAACAACGGAGTACTATTGCGACATCACACCGCGATCGGGACAAAATTGCCATGGAAATTGCCTTGAAAGAACTGTGATCGTCAAGCGCATCAGTTTGCAAATAGTATAACTAACGGCACAAATCATTTTCTAATATATGTTGAGTAAGGATACGATTGCTCTATGCAAACACGTTTCGTTGAAGACATACGCACAACACCTTGAAAGCCTCTCAACATACCATCCCGCATCTCCGGGACTAGTCGCGCCAATGTGCTCCGCCACCTGAAGCGCTACACCAATTGAGAGATCTCCAGTCGGCGCCTCTCCCGACCTGAGCCCTCGCCGCGTGAGCTGCCATTTCCCCCTGCCTTACTGCAGTCGCTATTTGCTGGTTCATGGCTGTAGCCTGCATTCCGGCCTGCTTGATCAGAATCTAATGAGCGCAGTGTGTAACAAGCGCAGAAGTCATCAGTGTTGCTCACTGCGGCGGTCCTCAATTTTGCCAAGGCCTCCTGGGCAAGGTAGCCAGTCTCAGTAGGATCGATGCGTACTCTACCAAATCCGTGGCCCACCGAAAGCGATGATGTCGGCATATACGAAGGATGCTCAACAGTCGGCCATGGCGTGTCGTGGAAGTGCATAAAGCAACTGATACGGCTTTAAGGTAGCCATGAAGGAACGCGAGCCGTTCACTTACTTGAAAGTGAACAATTCATTGACGTTTCCCCCAGAACAAACATCCCGCCCGTTACCGGGAGGTTTCATGGGGAATATAAGCGTATGCTGACGACGAGATGCAAGATGCATGCCGAGCAGTGCGGTTTCACCCATCTTAATAATTCTCTAACTGCCAGCCGCTTCATCGGGCACATAGCAAGATTCCGTTCCCTGATGAATCGAGGAAGTTGAAGTAACCAGCAAGTTTCGAATAGTCGCTGTCGACTCAGTCGACAGTGTCTATTCGGCATCTAGTCGACTCGACTATCAGATGGTAGTGTGAAACTGGTCCAGACTTGATGTGATGTGAACAAATTGTAGTTCACGAGCCGAGTTGCGGTAGCATTGTTGAATCATTCATTAGACATACCCGCTGTTGGAGTATCCCACTGTTCGAAAATTCTGGTCATACAAAGAATGTCTCAGACGAGTACCCAACAGATGTTCTTGCGTACCTGAAACGCTTGAGTGGGCATATAGCACGGTATTTGCACGCATGAGCACGTCAATCAAAGTTTCCATCCAAGTCGCTATCGTCTAGTGGTTAGGACGTCACGTTGTGGCCGTGACAACCCCGGTTCAAATCCGGGTAGTGACTTTTATTCTTCAAATTGTATAAACACTTGCACTCCACTGCTATATCTCAAGTGCATCTATTATATCCTTTTCATCTCCATGAATCATTAATACAGCTGAGTTAGAATCTCTGACAGTACCCGTCCACGAGAGCAACGTCTTAGCAGGAAGATAGCTGCACAGGTCACCACAACACACTAACCTTTACTCAACGGACGAAGACCACTTCAACACTGAACATCATCAATTTCCAGCACAAGAAACTTCTATCAAACTACTAGTTAATTGTTCCCACCCTGATCGGTGAGCCATACCAATTTGACCCAACGCTGGTCCCGCATGCAAAGCTTAGTTCAACTCTGGCTGATCAGAAGCCCCGTCTCAGACTGGGCGGTACCATCTCAACTTTGCCAGTCCTAAAACAGACAGTCCCCTTTGAGGCATCTACAATATCAGCAGCTGGTTCAAGGACCCCCATTGCGTTCATTTCTAAACTTACAACGGGTTTGTCCCCAAAGGCCGGCGAAATAGGAGGATATTGGGCTCTGGTTTGTGCGTAGCGTAGTGTACCCAACCCCGAGATTGTGTAACACCCACAGATCTCCATTCGTTTTCCTCTAATATAGTTGACGCAGAGTACCCACGGACCGACCGCTGTAGCATCTATACATGAGCTTAGCTAAGCCCTAGGGAGCTCCCTTACTCTATACGTGGGCTTGCTGAGTATAACATGACGGTACTCGTAGGTATCATCCATGTACTTGTCTGAGTACTCATTCTCATCTGGGAAGTGCGCCGGGCTCATTCGACAAGGGAAATGCAAAACACTAACAGGGCTCGCAGAAACGACAGCGATAAAGCATCAACCCGTTGAGCTTTTTTCATAATCCAAAGTCGACCTCAGCGACAGAAGAAAATACATGTGAACTTGAGGACCATCACGAGATCAACTACTCAGAAGTCGACACTGTAGTGGCCGGAATGGACGCTTTATCCGATCAAAATCAACCATTAAATCCATATGATGCTTCTAATACCGACGATACCACTCCTCGTAGAACCTCTTTTTGCCTGTCCGAACCGTAATAACTGAGCACGAGTTTGTCCTTGAGAATTTTTGTCAATCACTTGGACGACACCATCAGACCTCCCATGTCCGCTGATTACCCTGAGATGAGTCGCATGCCATGGTCCCATTCGACTCTATTGGATCTCGAGGACTATCTCGCCGAAACTCATATTCGACTCGGCAACAGAATTTCTATGACACCCATCCCAGGCATGGTCTTTCAACGACGAATAACGGTGGGAATTTTGATGTCCTCCCTCATATATGAGGCTCATGAGAAAGTGATGACTCTACTTATACTATCTGTCAGAGATAGGCGCCTTTAGACAGCGTGTGCGTGCAAGGGATGCTCGTCGCACGCGCCCACATGTTATTGATCATGAACGCCTTTTTCATTATCGATCTCTCGCTTTTGGGGGGACAGCCTCAGTTTTACGATGATCAGTTCGGTTTGAGAGGCTAAACTTTATATGAGAGATCATACGGCACTCAGATTTTCATTCTCTGAGATATTCAGTTCAATCTGGCGAGAGACTAACGCTGTCCAAGTTTGGTTCACACGTTTTCGTATGACCAACACGACAATTCAGATCCGCATGTTGTAATGAGCAATATACAGGGCTACAGTCTTTGCATTCGCACGAGTATTTATTCCTCGATGATAATATGCTCTAGGGTTCAAAATATAACCTCGAGCATCACCCATACTCTCAAATACCACACCTTTTCCCCCGACTGGCAGCACTGTAAGGGGATCGATCGAGGGACTCCTTCACCCTATGCATGTCGACTGCCGAGTAGGGGGATTACCTCCAAGCCGGCCGAAAAGCCCCTCTACCTGACCTCAGTAAGAGGTGCAAACATTGAGCCTTGGAGTTCCTGTATTCGGACTAGATGCGGGACGATCTGTCTCAACGACGATGTTAACTTTCTAATAGAACATATTGGTCAATTAATTCGCTATCGTACGCAACGCGACACGAGCTTTTCCGGAGACAGGGCGTGCGCGATTATGTCGACTAAACGAAAATTAGACAAATTGTGGTGAGTGGTCAGAATCTTCCATCGCACTGCTAAAGCTAGAAGATTCTAACTCGAAGACTGTTATGATATCAATATTATCTCAGATTCCGAGACACTTTCCGAAACCTCGAACCGCTTCCCCCACGAGCAAAGGAAAATCTTCGAAAATTTTACATTCCGAAATTTTTCTCACTAGTCAGCAATACAGCGAGGCGGAATACGGCGGGCGTGGCGCTATATTTCTATTGTGTCGGTGTGGAGACGAGGCCATAGGAGCTCCTATTGAGTTTTATATTAAGTTTATTCATACGAAATAATGTCGGAAACGATATGCTCTAATTGTGGGAAGCCAATCGAAGGGAAGTACGCGGTTTTGTGATGAGCACTGGTGATCGTCGAGGAAGCTGTAGGTCCTATACGTGTAAACTGTGCGAAACGGAGGTCTGTAAGGACTGTCTAGCCTCGGGCAAATTGATCGGCACTAAGAAGTGCAAAAGATGGTAAGAAAAACAGTGTTTGAAGATCGGGTTATTGTTGTTATTATTATTTCATACCTAATGACAGTACCCACGTGGCTATCTAATCTCAGCTGTGGCCTCTTGCCGGACCAAGCTACCAGCCCACAGAAGAACGCCGTGAACAGGCCAGTTGCTGCTACTTCTCCTACTACTACTACTGCACAACGTCAAGGGGGCTCACCGCAGACAACAACGGCTAGTACGCCACAAGAGGCTGAGGGACTTGGTGAGTTTTATTGAGGAAGTTTTATACCGGTCTCCTTACGGTTTTCCTATCAGATTCTGCTGCCGAAGATGCCAGGAAGAAGCGGGTTGAAGAGGCCCGTAAGGCGGCTGCTCAGAACAGTAAAATTGGCAACATGCTGAGAGTCGGGTCGACCTTCGATGCCAATCAGGGGGGAATGCTCGACATGAATGATACTACAAGTAAGCACCTTCCTGTCACAAAGTATGCACGATTTCCTATCAGTGAAATTCGGCTGGGATCTGTACGCCCTCTTGAACGTGAAGGTTATCGAAGCCTCTGGTCTTCCGGCTGCTGATATCAACGTCATCAGCTCCAACTCCTCTGATCCTTACACGGTCCTTACCCTGCTGGAAGACAATGTAGGATCGTATCGCCTTATACAACTATTAGTGTCCCCCCTTAGGTGACCAGAAAGACCAAGATATGTAAGCAGACTCTATCTCCAGTGTGGAACTTTGAGTGTACCACTATGGTGGTGGATGTCCCCTGCCAGAAGATGGAAGTACAAGTGTAAGACTATTGTCCATAGACCACTAGAGAGTTGAGCGATTTACGGTAGGTTTGATTACGATATGGCTTCTGATGATGATCTCTTGGGTACAGCCTACATAGATCTCACTAACCTCATCCCTGGCGAGCCGACTAACGGCTGGCTCCCTTTGGTTGGGGAGGATGGTAGTATCAAATTTTTATTCCTCCTGCATTGATTTCTCCGCCTCTCAGGCAAACCCGCTGGTGCTATCCATTTAGAGTTGATGATTATGTATACACCTTCCTCTGAGAGGATTGCCTTTGTGCAAGAGGCCATGGTACCGAGACCTAAACCCAAGCCGAAGTTCGACATCAACGCACTTTATGGCCCTGGCATGTAAGACAGTTTATGCAACTTTCCTGTTGTCAATTATATGGCCTCTTGTCGTCCGTCGATCAGGTTCATGGCACAAGTGTTGTGGTTTGACACTCTTCAGCCAGTGTTGAAGGATCATGTTCTGCCAATATTAATGTGGGAGAACTGGCTTCTCTCCACGATAGTTCTCGTAGGATTCATATATGCAAGGTAAGAATTTTCGCTTGCTGTTTTACAGCTTTTCCATCAGTTACTACGCGGCCTACTGGCCAGCCTTCGCCTGTTGGGCTCTGGCAGTTGCCATGATCCGTAACAAAGTGCTCAAGGGCTATGATCGCTTCATGCAGAATAAGACACTTTCCTCGACAATCGATGCATCGGGGAAGCTGATATTGGAGGACTCCGATGATGATAAAGACGACAGTAATGATGGAGTCTGTCAACTACTACCGTTCGAAAGTTTGTACGTATTTCGCAGAGTCCCTTTTTATTTCACTGTATAGGAATTAGGACTTTCCGTTGATGATTATTTAGTATTTTTCACTTGGGGAGGTTCGTCCAGTCGATTGTTTTATTCTTAGGCAACGAACCTCAAGAGCAGTCATTCAATGGTCTCATTAAGACTTTCACTAGACTCTCTCCTGGTTGGGTGAAGGACCTAGCAGCCGGCTTCCAGCCTCTTGTAAGGCAACTCGCTGATATCGTCACAGAAACGAGAGAGATCATTCTCTGGAGGTGAGCACACTCTCTATTCAGCACCATTCAGTTTCGTCTCAGACATAAGCTGTCGAAGCCCATTTGCTATGCATTGTGGGTGGCCGGCGTCGTCCTTTGCTTCATCCCATTCTGGATTGTCGTAATGGCCGCTGGTGTTGGTATTATCTGCGCCAACTCCCCATTGAAGGGGCTTAGTATTGGCCTGGCTAAGGCGGCGGCTCGGTAGGTGGCTTTAGATTTGAGTAGCCTTTTGGAATAACGGTGATATTATCAGGCCTACACCTACTGGTGATGTTGGCCTGCTGGATGCTATGGAGGAATTCCATATGTCTGAGGAGTTCAGGAAGCAGGCAGCTAAGAAACAGAGAAAACAGCAGAAGTAAATGTGATAACGAAGATCTTATACTAGCTCTGGTGAGTTGTCGAACTGGATGAAGTTTGCTCTCATAGCATTGTTTCAATGACAGGCTTGGTATTTTCATTGGAAAATTTCGAGCCGGAGCAAGTCGTCGACCCAGTGTTGGCATTTCTCGTTAATCTTCGAGTTATTGCATCATCACTACTATGCTGCACTCAGTAGGAGCCAGGTCGCCCTTGAGGTTAAATACAGTAAACAACGGTCGTTGTTGCAGCTATCAGGCTGCTGAGTAATTGCTCATTCTATTTCCTTCTCTCGATATTGTTACTCATTTAGTCATATATACTGATCTCGTTCCTACTCGGTTCGTGTGTGTCATGAGGTAACTCCGTTACTCACGACTTACTGATTATCATACTATAGCGCATAATCTGTGCGACGATTGCCTGCAGAGTATCTGATTCTATTCATGTTGAGTTGTCCTAGAGATGGGAGAGCGGATGGAGTTTTGGAGTTTCATGACTGCGGTTAATATCAATCTTTGTTCCCTTGCGTGAACATCATTCAACGTTATCTGGAGAGATGTGAGGAAAGGTGTCAGGGCTTTATCTAGACCTTTTCATTGACGCACTTGCACTTAGCCCTCCATTTCATCGTGCACTCGCCGAGTGCCACTCGGCGAGTCACTGAGTGCCATTAACGAGCGAAACATTGATCCCTGGGCAGTCCAGAAATTAAAGTCGTAATCGTGGAAAATTATTAAGTTTGTATCATAACTAATGACACCTTGTGACTGATAAGGCCACTAAGTCTTAGTGACTAAGACGAGGTGGATATGCGCTTGCTATTTTTTTGTACCCAATGTTCCCACACTTCCTCTATGAAGCTCTCGTAGTCAGCTACAGCGGCCGGTGCCGCGTCTAGGCTTGGTAACGGTGGACCTTGCAGGCTTGCACCGTGCAAGTTGCACGTTGCAAGATGATGCGTGCAAGTTGCACGCATCAACTGGCTCAAGATTTCGCCAGAGAGCGGCCTGCGATCACTGGCTAACCTAGTTGTTGAGCTGAAGCAGCGCTCCACAGAGGCGGTGGAAGAAGGTAAACACATGACAATAGCACAGATCTTGCAATGACGCGGAAAGAGGGAAACAAGTCGAGGATTGCCGAGGAACGCTTTATGGAAATCGCAATCCTCAGGAATAGACTCCATAGCAAGTTGTCTTTTCACGAACTCAACCTCCTTAACCAGAGCCTGTTTCCAGGAGCAAGATGCCCCATCCAATTTCACTGCAACCAACGCTGCGGTTGCTTCGGTCCAGCTGGGAGCATCAAATCGCCCAAGGGTCATCAAAAAGAGGACATCCTCCTGAAATCGGGATCGAAGCTCTGCTACCAAGTCACCAAGGTATGGGGAAACCACTTGAAATAGGGAGGGATCAGACACACAGCTGCGGCGAGCGTTCGATGCTCTCACTTCTATCTTGTGGGATAGGTCGAGGTACTGGTCCTTGATCAGTCCTTCTAGTGCATCCGGACTGTCAAGCTCCGCTATGAAAGTTATCAGGTTGGTGGTGATATTTATGGCACTACTATATGAGACTCCCGTGGACTGAAACTTCGCGGACACTTCTGCCATCCCTCCTAGTACGTGGCGAAGGACGATCAAAAGCTGAATATTCATCTTATCAGTGAAGACCTTGATGAGACCCTTACAGCGGCTCCTATCTTCTCGCAAAAAACCCCGATCATGGGATATCTTGTCGAGAGTACGTAGCACGATTGGCAATACCTACAAGAGTAGTAGTAGTAGTAGTAGTAGTAGTAGTAGTAGTAGTAGTAGTAGTAGAGTTCCACTGTTGCGTAGCGGTACCTGAATAAGTCTTTCAACGGCATTGGCCGTCGATAGCCATCTGGTTGCTGCCACCTCTATCAGACCTTTGTACCGCTCGTGGGGTTCTCTCAACTCAGCTGACGCTGCCTTGAGCATGCTCAACTTCTTATTTGACTTAGAAAAGAGGGAATACAGTGATTGAATACTATCAAGGCAATCGCTCACCATAGGATGTGGGCCGCGAGCAACAGTGCGAGCCACTAGTTGCAGACGATGGGCCCTACAATGCACGAACTTTACATTCGACCCCCAATTTTGTAAGATCTTTCCATATATCGAGGTTGCTATCGAAACAGAAGCACGATGATCGATAGTAAAGTTAATGGAGTCTATAACATCGGTGCTTGTTGTAGTGGACCGGTAGGTGGCATTGAGAGGCCTTGTTGCCGCGAAGGTCGCTAGTCTTGGGCACACCCGATAGAGAAGGTCCAAAAGAGTAGGGTACTTCGTGGTATGAGGAATCTCTTCCTTAACCAAGTAGAATAGAGCCTCAATGTACAGCTTCATACCCTCTTTCTCGGTACTCAACTGGTCGAGCTTTGTCTTTGACGCGACTGCCCTCATAAGCTCACCAGCATTCCTAATAGGAATTTCCTATAATGCCCAGTGCCAGCGGCAACGTCGGCACGTGTGACAAGGGCTTTATGGGCCGGATCGTTCGCATGACTAGCAGCCTTACGCCCCGGCTGCTGAGTCTTGGTTACTAGCCGGCCAACAAAAGGCTTGGTGGAAAAATCAGCAACCACAGAGTCCCCCTGCAAAAAGGCCGGGCGGCATATGCGGCAGTAGAAGCCTTCGGGAGTTTCAATCAACCAATCCTGGTGCTCAGATCTGAATGTAGTAACCTTTCTCCGTTTTTGATCTGGCTGATCTCCGGGCTCAATGGCATCTATGACCGGCTGAGCATCCCCAGTGGAAGTAGACTCTAGATTAGTAGGGAGTTCAACATGAGCCGGAATGGGACTTTCAGGGACAGGTTGAGAGGACGAGGACGATGAACCACCCTTAGACTTCATGTTCTCGAAGTACTCTTTGATGTTCTGCATGCTGCAAAGTTGAAAACGCTAGCTGACACTAAAGGCGCATCCAATGAGGTACATCTAAATGGTGGCACTCAAAAGACTTGCCTAGTGCATGCTGCACGCATGCGCTTTCTACTATGCGCGGCACAAGGTTCTCGCGCGCAAAGACGATCGATGCTAAGCTCATTAACTGTAGGACTTATATAGAAAGTTCGCAAGGGTTTGAACAACCTTATTGACTCTCATGTTGCGACTGCGACCTTGAGAGGAAGATATAAGGGGTTCTCGCCTAGAACTTCTTGGGATGCATTAATATAGTCTAGCTGCTAGCAAACTGGATCCGTGTGCGTATGCGTGCAGTGCACCCCACGCACCAGGTGCGTCGCACCTCAAGTGCGCACTAGTCGAGTGCACTACCGCACACGATCCCCGCACTCTGGCGCCACCTCAGCTATCATGAACGCACTCATGAGTGCATGGCGCGCACCTTGGATAAAGCCAAGAACACCTTTAAGGTGTTCTTGGCCCAAGTCGGCTACAGACTTGAGAGCTACTAACGTCCAACGTGATGTATTTAATGTTCTCATTAGAGTACGCAAGCACTAAGGAGACATCTGTACGCTGCGAGGAGCAGACTTTATCTGCTGCGCTCACGTTATCGAGCATCAATATTCTCTGCCGCTCTTCATCTTTCTCGTACTGCCAGTTGTTTTTTTCATGGGTAGTTCATCAACAACAACAAACAAAGTCGAGAATGATGATAAGAAGAACGATCTCGTGCGGCTCAGTACCAAGGACTTTCAAGGGATTGCACTTGATAAATGGGTCGAAAATAACGACAACTTCTGCAATCATTGCAGGGGTCGTATAGGGAGATTCAGGAGGTACTGAGAAAGGGGAAAAACCTAAAGGAGTCTCGAAACTATCATATTATCTCTATGGGCGAGAGGGTTGATCCCTGACGCGCGCCCTCATCGATATATGATAGGTTGGGTTACTCTTTGGGTGGCATTATGTCTTTGACATATATAGACTTCGGGGGATAGTCTTCCCGATTCCGTGATGGTGTGTTGAAGGTGTTGATTATTTTTCTCAGAGCCTACCGTTGCTCTAAATGTAACAATATCGTGTGTCATAACTGTTTGGAGACTGGAAGGTTTATTGGTCCGAAAATTTGCAAGAGGTAATATCTCATTGCTAAGCCCGATTTTCTCTTGCCTAAGTTGCTCGTAGCAGATGTTTCAAGGGGGAGGAGATAAGTAACTCCAAGCTATTGGAAAGCCGTTCCTTTTCGGCGGTGTCGGGATCTTTGGCCTCGGCACCCGATCAAGGTAGAGTATCGAGCGAATATCGAGCGCTATCTCACTATTTAGACTCGAAAATCATCCCAGCATCAGGGATCTCGTCGTGCAGTGATCCACCGAGCACAGCGGTGACCGATATACCGGTGGTTCAGGCTACACTAGCTTATCAGCCTAGAAAACTACCAAGTATCTGGAGGCAGGCAAAGGTCATGTCTGATGGACAGAAGTACATAGACCCTCATGACCCAACAGGTAGTGTACTATGGGTAGTAGTGGATCCATGCTTGCTACATGATGGGTACAGTTTAGTGAAGTGGACATCGGAGATACTCTCGTAGCGCATTTATCGATCTCGATTCCCCTGTTTGCCAAACGGCGTTTGGGGCGGCTATGCCACCCTAGGACACAAGCTCTCCGTTAATCGTTCGCGTGGGGGCCAAACAAAAGTTCCGGGATAGGCTGACTGGGTTCCACATGTCGTCGAAAGTAGAGTTACTTGGGTGTTGCCGATAGAATTAATTAGTGGCATAGTTGCCCCGGCTGGAGGAATTACTTGTACTCATGCATATGTTGACGTGGCATAGTTGCCCCGGGCGGGGGAATTACTTGTACTAATGCATATGTTGACGTGGCATAGTTGCCCCGGCTGGGGGATTTACTTGTACTAATGCATATGTTGACGTGGCATAGTTGCCCCGACTGGAGGAATTACTTGTACTAATGCATATGTTGACGTGGCATAGTTGCCCCGGCTGGAGGAATTACTTGTACTAATGCATATGTCGACGTGGCATAGCTGCCCCGGCTGGAGGAATTACTTGTACTAATGCATATGTTGACGTGGCATAGTTGCCCCGGCTGGAGAATTTACTTGTACTAATGCATATGTTGACGTGGCATAGTTGCCCCGGCTGGAGGATTTACTTGTACTAATGCATATGTTGACGTGGCATAGTTGCCCCGGCTGGAGGAATTACTTGTACTGATGCATATGTTGACGTGGCATAGTTGCCCCGGCTGGAGGATTTACTTGTACTAATGCATATGTTGACGTGGCATAGTTGCCCCGGCTGGAGGATTTACTTGTACTAATGCATATGTTGACGTGGCATAGTTGCCCCGGCTGGAGGATTTACTTGTACTAATGCATATGTTGACGTGGCATAGTTGCCCCGGCTGGAGGAATTACTTGTACTGATGCATATGTTGACGTGGCATAGTTGCCCCGGCTGGAGGATTTACTTATACTAATGCATATGTTGACGTGGCACAGTTGCCTCGGCTGGAGGAAATACTTGTACAATGGTATATCTTAGGGTGGCATAGTTGCCCCGGCTGGAGGAAATACTTGTACAATGGTATATCTTAGGGTGGCATAGTTGCCCCTAGTGAGAGCGAATTAGACCTTGAAAATCTCTTAAAAAGTGTGTTAGTGTAGAATCCGACTCTTGTTGTTCCCTATCCTCGCCTAATGACCTCGATGAGTATCAACACGTGCCACACTGCTTACGGTGTATCTAGGCATTCTTACTTGCTGTCCGATACGGACGGGTTCTCTAGGCGTTCTAACCTTCACTCGGATTCGGACGGCATCTCTAGGCGTTGTTGCCTTCAGTCCGATTCGGATGGGATCTCTACGCGTTGTTAAACATTCGTGTCATAGAAGCGAGGGGTCTCAGAGCAGCCGACACCAACGTCTTTGGCCGAAAGTATAGTTCTGATCCCTACTGTGTGTTATCAGTGGATAAGGATAAGGTAGGCTACTTCAACTTTTCACCATTGGCGCTGAATTGTCATGGCTTGACTCCCCAGTAGACGAAGATATCCTAAGAATCATTTTGCTCTTTCAGATAGTTCGGCGAACACCCTACATGAAGCACACGTTACAGCCTGTCTGGAACTACGTGTGCTCAACGATGGTGTTGAAGACACCAAGTCAAATATTGCAAGTGGAAGTGTAGGACGGTTGAGCAAGGTTCGATCCCTGCATACTGCAAATTAGGTTCGATCGGGATGTAGCATCGTCTGATGACGTGATCGGTAGAGGAATCCTCGACTTGTCCACTCTCCGTCACGACCAGCCTGTCGATGGTTGGGTGCCTCTTTCATACCATGGTATCAATGACATGCCTTTCAATACGAAGTGTTCCTCTCCTTGTATCTCAGGCAAACCGGCGGGTGCTGTTCGATTAGAGGTTGAATTCAGCTTTACTGTGATCTCGGAGGTGGCCGCGTATATGAAACGTTATATGCTGGCTGAGGCTCAGCCTAAAGACAGACCAAAGTTCGATGTTAATGCTCTTTATGGCCCTGGCATGTAGTAATGGATGAAGCACTGGACTCACCTCATCGCCGCTTATCTATGGGCTTGATTCTTGCTGAATATCTGAGTTGAATTTCGGTTCATGCCTAGCGAAGATTTTAGTAGGATCGATGAATGATAACCTATCTGTCAGGTACATCCTGGAGACACTATGGACAGATACCTTGAAGGGTCTACTCATGGGTTTCTTCTACCCGATATTCGAGTGGAATAGTTGGTGGCAGTCTGTTTTAGTATGGGTGCTGTATCTTTATGCTTGGTAATATACATCGGGACGGTTTCTCGACGCTACTACGTTAAAATGACCGCTGAAGCTTTACTGCATCGCGAAATTACCGCTTCGCGGCCCAGTTCGTCATACAGTATCTTTGTACTCGTTCCCTGCCGTCTGGGGAAAGCGTCTGTGGGGAATTAATCGGTCTTCGGACGCAGTCTCGGGTTTTCTCAGTTGCTTCGTGGAGTATTGGCCAGCGGCACTATGCTGGGGAGTTGCAGCTTTGATGGGACGTAATAAGATGATGTCTGCTTACAAGAAGGCTTCCGATCAAGAGTCCTCCATCAGTAGACATGGCAGTATGGCCTTCGTCGCTTTGGATGGTAATAGCTCATGCTCGTCTCACGGTTGGTTTGAACTAGGTGAACTGTCAGTGTATGTGAAAATTTCTTCAATTCCGCGTACTCGAGGTGGTTTCTTATGATCATCTGAGACCGTTCAGGTTTTACTTGTTTGTTTCAGACGATGATGAAGAGAAGTCGATCAACGCCTTAGTGCGTAGTTTCACCCAGTTGTCCCCTACCTGGCTTAAGGATACAGCAGCCCGGTTCCAGCGGCCTCTCAGGATTCTCGCCGATTCCTTAGACTTCGCGCAAGATTTACTCATGTGGAGGTGAAGTTGAAGCATGATTGACAGGGTACGGAGTGTATCTTTTAGGGACCCTTTGTCGAAGCCAGTGTTCTACATATTGGTGGTATCCGGCTTGGTGCTTTGCCGTTTGTCATTTGGTATGGTGATGGGTATACTAGGAAGTGCCGTGATGATGATACACTCTCCCTTAAGGGGCCTCCTTAGTGGCATTTCGGCATCAGTCCACACAGTAACACTAAAACAATATCGTGAGTTCTTTCCATTTCCGATCCGAAGCCCTCTTGCGAGTTATTGGATGCTCCTGGGTATTTCAGGTTTTTACGCGGAACCAAAGCTTGGATGAACAGAGAGAACAGTCTCTTACCTCATTGTGACATATCACATTGTAGCGACGACTACCGGCAGTTGGTCATACGCCGCCTAGCGAAAGACGCACGACGCACTCAAGCGAGTTCAGCGTCGAATCAGCCGTCTCCACATAAACCGGCAGCCGGGTGAACTTCGGCAGCGTCACGTATCGCGAAAAGTGACGTGATAGCTTCTTACAGTCCCGGCAACTTGTTAACTCTCCGAACGATATTTTTGTAAGCATACGATGTACGACCCTCATGTGCCGTTGGTCCATTTTTCTGGTTTTTACTCTTCAGCGGCTGAACTTCAGCTGATTCTTAAATTACTTGGGTTGGCGAAATGCACCATTAGTTAGCATTGTTCTTATTGGTTCGATTGACAATTATCGTTATTGTCGTTATACCACCGCACTGTGTTCAGTTCCTCGTAAACTGGCGAGTGCCACTCACCGAGTGGTACAGACCTTGATAGTATATCACCATCATTGCGAGATCTGGATATTGGAAGATTCGTTGAACGAGGGTTGTCGACGTTGAAGCACATGAAGGACTTGCGGGGTGGAGGCGCTCGAACTACATCGACGTGACAGGCTTGGAGCAGTCAAAGCGAGCCGATCCAGCTGTCCGATTTATATCAGAGGATTGTTCTCTCTAATACAGCTTGTTATGTGTCATACAACCGACACTCATTTTAAGGTGTCCGACCGACTGCTGTACTTGAAGGGTTCAGGCCAATCTAACATCCCTTCAAGGGGATATCGCCCTTCTCGTCGTCGATGACTACATGCAAAGCTTCCCCTCATTATTCTCCGTGTACTCTCTGCGGCGAGACTCTCTCCTAGATTTGCTCTTTAAGCTCGACGATTTCGGCCAACTGCGCTCACGCGGTCGTCTGCTCCACGTTAGTTTTGCCTGCCATTCTGGTTTTCTGGTTTACAAGAACAGACTAACTCTAGCAGCTCGTTATTGACAAAGGTCAAGGGCTACACAAGACGAGTCTCAATATTCGAGTCCATTTAAAACACAGCACATAGTAGTAACATGCTTGATACTATTTCAGAGTAATGTAGTAGTATGCGAAAAGGCGAGCTCAATCTCATAGTGTACCAGCAGCGACGCTGTCGTCGCCAGAAGGCGGTATCCACGCCGGAGGATAGTAAGGCCTGAATTCGGATCAACACATGACCAACGCTTTCCGCATTTGTTTCCAACCGGGCGACTTTATCCAACTCGTCATTGCTGACCCCTTGAGTCTGCCGTATCTTTTCTATGAGCCCCTGAGTCTTAGCAAGGCCGCTCTGGATAGCTCGGAGCACCTGAAATATATAATGGAGCCAGAGAATCAATGATGTTCCTCACAGGAGGCCGCATTCTCTCATGATTTAGACACAAGTGGGAGACTCCAGTATGAGAGAAGCCTCGACTCAAGGGACGCCTGATAACATGATTAGATCGCCGACAGCGTTGACATCAACACGGCCAAAAGACAGACGAAGCGAACCAGTCGATCGTTAAGCTTCTGATAAGAAGTTGATATCCACTGGCCTAATAATCACCAGCGAGGAGGATCGCGAATAACGAAAATGACTCATCCCGGTCAGCATCGCATTAAAATAGTTATCAATGTGGATACTCTTTGTAAATACTCAAATCAATACTGACCAAGTTTGAAGCTCTGAGCCCGCGGCTGTCGTAGCGATGCCTCCAAAGTCAACGTGAGTGATATTGTGGAACTTTGCCAGAATGTCAACGAAGGACTCCATGTGGTCTTGGTTGAATACTCTGACGAAACGGCAGTCCCCAGCAGGGAACTTCACGAATCTACCATAGAAAATCGCTCAAACATCTTCATCGCGACCGCCTACCTGAGACTGCTAATGTCGCTCTTCCTCAATAACTCGAGAAGATCTGTCACTGCTACTTCCTCCTCGAAACACTGTAAGGAAGGAGCTCAGACGTAGCAGTAACAACCCACAACTAACCGAGTCTGGTATCGCTAAGACCTCCTTGTGGCTCTTCGGTGGAGCATCTTGTGCTAACAGTAGTACGCTGGCTGAGTGCTGTATAATGGGAGTGAGCAGTGATAAGAACAAGGCTTGCGTTCCGGCCTCCACAGATCTCTGGAAAGTAGCTCAATGAGTAACTCAAGCTGCCGCAATCCTACCCGATTCCGTCTACGCGGTTGTTTGTCCTTCTCTATCTCATGAATCGTCTCTTTCGGGGCCTGAGGCTGCATGCGAAGACAGTTGATGAAAGGATCGGCCCTCACCGGGATCTCGCTCTTCACTGTCTCATTCGCCTCTCCAGTCCCAGCAATCTCAGCCGCATCGCGAGCCTGAAAGCAACACTTGAAACCGCAGTAAAAACTTGAACTCTATTTCACCTCGACATTTTCAGCATGACTGAGCACCTTCGGCCTACTCCGTGGCGTCGTCTTCCTCTTCTTGTTGGCAACAGATGGTGCAGATAGAACGGGAGTCTCCATCTGGACAGAAACCTCCCCCTACGCTCTTTCAATTTTGCAGTTCATCACATCGAGTTGAGCCTCTCTCGACTTTGATCTATTCCGCTTCTGCCCAGTCGCTCTAACTGAAGGCCTAGCCGCTTCAGCCGTACGTGATGGTGCTGTTGACGGAGAGAGAGCAAGAGGCCAGTCGTCATCCGCAGTGCACTGTGAACCTACCATCGTTTCAAGAACGCCTATCGTGGATGGAAATGGAGTCTCACCTTCGAGCATAGAACAAGAGAAGTCACTCAAGTGAGCAACCCACTGCGCAGTTGCGTTGTTGACGAACCTGTCAGTTCTCTGAGCGACACTCACTTCCCACACTCCCATGTTACCTCCGTCGATGGCAGTGATCGCACTGCACCAGTGCTATGTCGTCTAACCCCAGAGACCCTTTATCGATATTATTGGGGACATTCTCAACTTGAGAAAGCTCAGCAGGAGCCGATTCCTGGTGGGAAATGCAGCGGGCTGCAGCCTTTAGAGCCAGATGACCAATCATCGAAGCTCACTTCTCCAGTATCTCCGACCGTTGTGGTCTGATCTCTACTAGCATCAACATCGACCTGGCATTTGATCCGAGAGGCATCGATTTGTTCCTCAGCTGTGAGACGACTCTGGGAGCAAGAGGGTCGCCACGTATAGGGGGAGTGGAGGCCTCACCACAGCTCTAGGACCCCCTTTGGCCGGGAATATAACCTCGTTCGCGATACTCAAGCAGAGGGACTCGAGTTGAATTGTCTCCTCGGGCGAACACTGAATACTGGAAAAAAGACTACTGTACTAGGTACCTGAGACTGTTTAGCATCGGCCTACCTCAAGAATAATATTTGACATATAGGGGGACTCTCTTTCCCATCCTCCTCGGTAGACAGGACTTCTCGTACTGCATCCACCAAGGCACGAATCTGCCAAGACGATTACCATGTTGATGAGAGTTGGGACCGTCGAAACTCCGCAAGGAGGTCTCGATGAGAAGTAACGAACGGAAAGAGGAGGAAGAGGGAGGACACTGACCCCCTCCAGAGAGTCCAAGATCGCTATGTTCGTAAGGTGCAACTGACCCATCGGCGATCGTGCTTGCTTGGCTCGATGAGCAAAAGCCTTCAACTAAGTGATGGACAGATTATGATATGTCAGAAGAAAGCAAATGATGGGTACCAATTCAAGCAGGTCATCTATGCTGGGTATGCTTATGCTGTCCAGGTCCACTACGAGGGACGTGCCCCAGTAAACGCTGGCGACTTCCCTGAAGCACCATTCATACAACCAACTAAAGACATACAGATACAGAATAGTCAATTGAAAGCCTATGATATCTCATTCTACTTCAATCGACCCTCGATAGAGAATATTAGCCCTAGTGAGGTGGTGACGGTGGTAGTGTGACCTACTTGAGTGCTGATAGGTCTGGCTTAGTAGGATCCTCTGGTTGTATACGATAGAGCTCCTTCAGTATCGAGGACGACGACGACGTTGTCCCTATCCCTGCTGGTGCTGCCGTTGTGTCACCACTTTGGTGAGGATGCAGAATGGCGGCGTCCTGATACATACCGGATGTAGATTACCATACCTCCCCAACAATAGTTTTAAGAAGCTTAGTCTGCCGTGGGGGCAGCTATGCCACCGTAAGATATGACTTAGTATAATTAGTTTCTCCACTTGGGGCAACTATGCCACCGTAAGAGATATTTAGTACAATCAATTCGCTCTCATTAAGGGCAACTACGCCATCATAAGATATGACTTAGTACAATCAATTCGCTCTCATTAAGGGCAACTACGCCATCATAAGATATGACTTAGTACAATCAATTCGTTTTACTAGGGGCAACTATGCCACCCGAAGATACGCCTTAGTACAATTAATTTCTCTATCGGGGGCAACTATGCCACCGTAAGATATGACTTAGTACAATCAATTCGTCTTACTAGGGGCAACTATGCCACCCAAAGATATGCTTCAGTGCAATTAATTCCTCCGACCGGGGTGACTATGCCATCGGCCCAGGCTGAGCAACACTCTTGCGCAGCCAAGTTTTTTCACTTAGGTCGATGATTTCGTTCAAGTAAGGTGAAATGAACTTCGCTGCGGAATATTAATATTTTTACCTGGGTAGCCAATAACTGATTCGAAGTAATTAATGCTGCTGCTGATGGAGACGACGACGACGAGGGCGGCTGTTTCAAACGTTTGCCTCCCCGTTGAACCATCGTGAGAGGCGATCAAAAAGAGATAACAACCGCTGAAGATAAGGTATATTCTCGCCTCCCCCACTCGTAATGACATGACTAACTCGAAAACGACTTTGAAGGATATATAACTAGAGACAAACAGAAGCACTGCTCGAAGCGGAGCACTCATAGATCGTGAACAGCGACATGATTCAAGATGATGAGACTTTTGGGGGGAATGAGGAGAGATGAAGCGGGAGGATGGTATGCAAGTTGAAAATGCCGAATTGGCACCATTGTGTTGTTCATGGCATGGTCGTACAACACTGCTCGCATAATATGCGTTGCATACATGGGTCACCAATTGGATTGGAGACTCGGCTAACCGGCCCGACTTGGGTCACCCATCCCGATGGATTCTGGCAATCCACGCTGTCTCCAGCACGCCAGTGGTGATAATGGCACTATCCAAAGCTGGAGGAAGGGCTTTGCACGTAGACTCCGATGATATCAGTCAATGATGCCAAAGAGTAATGCGAGTACCGGCCTGAACGAATCGACTCTCAAGAGAGAGAACGCAAGCGTTGACACTCACTGAGTTCTTGCTCAGCGACAGTAAAAAAGCATAATGCAACAGATTGTGAGATAAGCTTTTCGAAGAGGATGGGTAGCCATCGCTCGTCTAACTCCACCAATGAAACTATGAGCACAGATCATCCAGCAGTTTTTTGATAGGCTCCGAAGCGATCATAGTGGAGAAGAAACGAAGCAATTAAACGGCTACAGTGAACTATTCCAGGACAAACACAAGGCAGTTGAAGGATCTCTTATTACACAGAGGATAGTACGGATGAATCATATTAGAGATAGGAAGTATCGTAAATGGTGTCGAAGAACCGGATTCTCTCTTCAACGTATACATTTCATCAAGCGTAAACCCCAGTAAGCAAGCTTTGACCTGAAGGACGTAAACATTGCAGCTGCAGCTGCTCCAATGAGCTTACTCCGTTCCCGCGGTGCTCGTCGCGGCTCTCTGGGTGAACTCATGATTGAAACGGTAGAATAACGTCGCGAGATCCTAGCCGCGGATATACCGGGGTTGGCGTCATAATCCGTATAAGGCAGTAGACGGTCTTGTGCTGACGTGTCTGGAGCTACGGCCCAGAACAGCACGCCGTAAAGTAGGAACAATATGGCGTACAAGAGGCAGGCCGGGGAGAAGCCAATAACACTGAAGAAGTTTCAGTGCGAAAGACGAAAAATGCCTTCACGCCAAGTCTAAATGATTCGTTTCAAGACAAAATAGCGATCTAGTGACCATAAGGATAGCTATGTGAAGTTATGATGAAAGGCAACAATGAGACTCTCAGTTTTCTAGTCAGAAATGTGCATTTTGGTCCTCTTTTTACAGGACTAAGATGCATATTTTTCTGTCGTAGATCTCGAAATTGACTTGCGCGAACAGAATGAAAGTTTTGCTTCCTACCAGGTAGTAGATATAACGATGATCTCTCACACGCTATGTGATTCCCCTGAACCGAGCTAGAGAAAGAGCGGTCTCCGGTGGAGACTCTCCACACTGTGGAGTCTACAGTGATTACTCTCAGATGAATGACCCACTTACGTACCCAGTGAGCGAACCACCCAGAATGGGTCCCAGGGCTTCTCCAAGAGAAGCACCGCCGTTGAAGAGAGCTGACACCATATCAATCGCTCCATGGCCCATCTCGGGTGGTATCTGAGAGACTCAAATTTAACCGAGTGCTAGGCAGGGAACGACGAACCCCTTCAATCATGTAAGGCATGCAAGGGACCCAGCCCCAACTGGAGCCTATGCCTGCCAGACCGAGGGCTATCAATTGCTGCACCCACGGGTTCGAAGTAACTTTCAGAGTTGGCCCGAGTGTTAGCTGAAGATACAACAGATACGATACAGATCTTCTGACGGGCCGACGAACATTACGAAGGAAGCTCCCATGACCAGCAGACCGAGCGCCAAGGTGACGTGTTTCGTGAGAAGTGATGTTGTCCTGATCAAAGAACATATGCACGACCCATTGGGGAAAAAATCTCCAAGTTTCGTTCACGTCGGACCCGAATCAGCTAAAGTCATGATCACTTCAAACGATATGACGTACTTGGGTATAAGTACTGTAGCTATAGCCATAGTAACCGATGGGAATGCAAAGAGGAGACCCATGGTAGATGGTGAAACGTCACCCAATACAGCTAAGAAGTGCTCTGAGAGAACCTGGAGAAAGACCCTGGGAGAGAGGGGAGAAGAGGCAACCTACTGGATCCATGAACCCGAAGGCTGAGCTGACTAGCGCACTGCAGAGAACTGTGATTAGAATATGCCGCATACGGAGCACCTGACAAGAGCCTCGTAGAACCTAGCTTAACCGCATTTTTGGAAGATTCTAGATTAATGGAGTTATAGATTCTCATTGAAAGTATCACGGATGTGATCATGGATCTAAGTTGGAAATGGATAGAACATTGCAGAGAACGGAAACGGGTATGACAAGTGGAGACGAGATGTTCAAAACTCACTTCGCTCACTCCCACGACCTTCCGACCACTCTGAGCAGCACCATCACTAGTCGGCAATGAGGCAGCCGGGGGTATCGGAACCCATGTGGCTAGCATCAGCACCTGACATGAATCTTATCACAAAGAGCAAGACAATATTAACGTACCATGACACCGAAATGAATAGCCGTGAGTACAATAAAGGAGGTGTGGAATCCACCCACTTGGAATAGGCCAGCACCTGAGCAAGACCTGTTCAATCCGAATCTCATGCGTGCAGGAGTCACCGATAGTCGGGCCAACGGCAAAACCAACATTCCCTATCAGCTCTTGGAAGGCGAATATCTTCTCTATATCTCCCGGGAACAACCTGCCCGGGATCCTCGCAGCTGTGATCATAGATACTCCATTCATACTCACCTAGCCATAATCGCAGAGGTAGCAGAATATGTACAAGCAGCTCCTACGCCTTGAATGGCTCGGAAAGCAAGGAAGCTCCTGAGCGAGCCAAGTTGTAGTTGTGGGGAGTCGATAAGTGGTAGTTAAGCAACAGCTTCTATAACGTCGCGAAAACTCTAGGAGATAAGGAAGTGGAGTGTAAACCCATAATATTGATCGGGAAACCAGATAGGAGTAACAACCAAGGATCACACTTACCAGAGCACCTTGGAGAAGCCAAAGCCAAGTGTGCCAATTGCAACGAATACACCTCCTGCCAAGAGAACGGTGAAGTACCCCAGTAGTTGAAGGAGGTAGCCAGTGAGAGGCGCCATAATACAGGACGCACACGGCAAGAAAGCGAATACCACTCCAATCGTAGCATCCGTGAGATCTGACAATGACGTCCTCTTGGAGGTGAATGGTATTGACGAATCTCTCAAGGGATGTATGGAGGTGGACTACGAATGATACTATACCATTCAAGAACCTATCTACAGAATGGGGCCATTATGCCAGAGGACTATATCTCTGAGAAATCCACATACAGAATGGGGCCGCTATGCCAGAGTACTATACCACTTAAGATTTCATCTACAGAATGGGGTCGTTATGCCAGAGGACTATGCCATCCGGGAATCTATTCACCGAATTGGGCTGCTATACCAACGATATGAGACACTACATATGCCAGCGAGGACATCAGTTTTGCTCGCGTGTTCATGCAAAGGAAGCACAATAGCGAATAAGAAACTCGATATAGTGATGCGCTTCGAAGAAGGATTCCAACTAAATGACTGAAGAGAACAATTTCGCCGATGCGAGCACCAAATTTCGCCGGATCACAGCTAGTCAGTACGATGTGGATATGCAGTTTTTCCGTCGCTGAGTGACAGCTCCCGCGGTAATACCCTCGCAAGAGTTTAATGTTTCACTGAGACAGTCCCAGGAGTCTAGGCGCATCATAACGTTATCAACCTTATAAGAGTTTCAGACCCCATTATTCATAATTTCACTTACCGAGTTCTTGCTTGGCGTAGACTGGAAAGAAAGGAGCAATTTGATATAGTAGAGTTATCGTAACGAAGTAGGCTGTCTGGCAGAGGACGAGCATCCATCGTCTCTTAGCACGCTGAGCTGATGTCAATCGTGTAGGGGGCGCGTTGTCGAGGAGAGCTCGCCGAATATCAGTGTTCGAGCTGTTACCATCCATGACGATTAAAGAAGCAACTTTTAACTGTGAGGTCCAAAACAGTATTACAGCAAGGTGGTCGCCGTTGCGCAAAAGATAGACGGTTACTATAAGATAGAGGTATGGTGAATAGCCGGCCGATGAATTCTGAAGTAATAATTTGGGTCGATACAACGTTAGATGTGTTCATTACACACTTCCCACATATTGCGTGAATCCTTACACATTATTTATCATTGGGAGACATCATTTTGCCCCCTCTCACTCACATTCAATCCTTTCCTGACATCCAGCGAAATTTGCCCCGTATCGAGAATGCCATTCATCATCCGAGCCGAGCCAACACTGGAAAATCGTCTACCAGTACCCATACATTCCAAAATAGCTACTCAGACCACACTACGGGTGTACAAATATCAATTGTAGTCGTGCTAGTAGCATAAACTACATATGAACACTGATAACCATTACTCATCCCAACCGATCTACTAAGACTTCAAACCCAACACAACTACCCTGTTGAAACTAACCCTCTTCAATAGTACACGTAAAGTAAGCCGCCCTCTACGACAACACAGCCTTCTCCAACCATCATCCCTCCTCCAGCCTGTGTTGACAGCATGAGACCATCGAATACAGCAGAGGTTGGACCTCCTTCTTTTTACGCCGGGATCCGCTCGATGTGCTCCTCAGAAATCGGTCTACCCGTTTCGGCGCACATACCGCATGATACCGCCTATGACAAGATCTCACATAGCATTTCACCCTAGCATCGCTGCGAACAATCGGTTCCCCACATCCACTGCACTGCTGTCTCCTCACATGATAACCACGCCTGATGGACGGACCCGATAAGATCACTCGAAGGTAGCCCTGGGAATCCTTCGTCATCGACACTCCGCTGATTGACAATCCACACAATAAATGGCACCATCGCTCCGCCGAACCCGACTCCTCCATCATAGGCACCAATACACTCCTTCTAGCAGCATCACACGGACAGAGGGAACACTTAGGTCGATTAGAAGCCTCTTGAGAGCATGCCAGACAGTGCCCCTTACCAGTATTCCTGTTGTTCCAGCCCAGGAGAGTTCGGCAAGCCTCATGCAGACATACACCGCAATCAACACACTTGAAAGATGACCCCTCGCAGTCGCTACCACATACTCCACAAGCACGATACGATTCACTCAGAGTCATCTTGAAATCCTGTCCGAGCTTTTCCACCTCTCCAACACTCCCATCAGACTCAGCTTCGTCTATCAAACTCTGCAGCATGCTCTCATCCAAAGGTTCATCCGGGATGATCCCGAGCCCCTGCAGAAAGTACCCCAGAGTCGCCTCTTGAACTGGTGGGAGCTCCTCAAGAACTTCCTTAATCGTATTCTCGCTCACCAAAGCCGAGGCCCCGTGCACTAGGATAAAATCACAATACTTCCCCTCAGATTCTATACTCAAATTCGCTGGACTCAACAACTTCCCCTCATCTCCATCGTCAGCAATCCCCGGCCACCCCGGCAAATTCTGTGGAGACGCCGCAGCCGCCGCTGCTTTCGCCGCCGCCACACTGAGCTGATCCGGCTGGCCTTCGCTGGGAACTTTATCACCGTGCAAGGCGTATTCGAGATCTTCCAGGAGTAACAAATGCTCGTACGGCTCCTCTAGAATCCTCCTCCTCACCGACTCTCTCACTACCGCTCCATCAGCAACTCGTGCAACCTCGACCATTTCATCCTCAGCTACTACTGCTCTCCCGCCATACAGTAGAACGCGCTCAGGAGGCGGTTTAGCAATCACCGGGGAGATAACTTCCCTAGTATCACCCTCAGATGCCCCACTCGAATTCGACAGAAAACACCTCACACACAGAGCAATCGCACAAGCCGCTAACGATGCCAAGTGCACCCTTTCCCACAGTTGACCCTGTCGAGAGCTCAGCTGTCCGCATTTCCTCTCGAGTAAAAACCATATTCTATCCTCAATCGCCTTCGGTATCGTCCCCACTTCATCAGAGTCTGACTCCGAATCCTCGCTGCCCGAACTACCACTCTCGCTGGGTTTCTCCATCATGCACAAACACATCAGCTCAAAGGCCGCCAGCTCCACACTGTCAACCGTAACCTTATTTCGTATCATCTTCCTCGCCCACTCCGGCACCTTCGCCACTACTTTTCCATTCTCTGTAGCCTCAGTCAGCTGATAATAAAGATTCGCGACTTGCCCCGATGGAGACTGAGGGTCAACCTCCAATGCACTGATATTGCTCCCACCCCGAGGTTTGTGCTGTAAGCTTTCCAGCTTCCTAATATCAGCTTCTCTCGCCTCCTTGGTGCACTCATCATCACAGTACTGGTCGAAGGTCTCCAAACGCTGTATCGCCCAAGGCAAGGTATCGTCAGCTTGATGAGAGAGAACCTTCTGTGGCTTAGCATGCACCAAACAGTTCACCACATACCTGAACATACTACAAATCTCATGTGTATGTGAAAGGAGCACACCACGTCCGAGTTGTATACGCCCACCCTTGTAGACCAAAAATAAGACAACCGGAGGAGTCAAACTGTACAAGTGTCCTCGATAAAAAGCATTGTGTTCTCTAACCATGTGAAGTTCCTTTACCAAAAATTCCATCGATGCAACAGTCATTGAGCGATGCAGAAGCAAGAGCCGCTTGAGAGATTCAAAACAACCTCACATACCTCAGGGAGATAATCCGTCCCCGATGCAGGAAGATATGCACATGGTCAACTACATGTGTCGGTGATTTCGAGGAATTTTCAGGAATTTTTCGGAATTTTTCGGAATTTTTAGGATTTTTTAGGAATTTCTTCCTTCGTTTCGGAAAAGTTTACCTGAATTCATATGTAAAACTGCTATAATAGAAGAGGAAACTCCCAAGTTCAACTGCGGATAGCCAACACATATTCCTCCAACACTGTCCATCCCCCATTCCCCCTCTACTACCTCCTAGACTCCAACGCCGCCCTCCTGCCCAGCTGCAGTGCAGCCAGCGTTCTATCACTGCCACTCAGAGTCGACACCGGTGGTCCTAACGCCAACAGCGTCATCATAGACGCCGAACTCTGCGGTGTATTGTGCGGTGTGCTCGCTGGTGAAGCCTCCGACTTCGCCGGAGACCCAGATGAGCCTTCTTTCAGTCCACCCTGATTTTCACTCATCAGCTCGGCCACCACCGAGTCGTGAACCCATCGAACCGTGGTGAAGTATCTGACCACAGCCCCCTGACTGATAGATGCTTACCTACTGTGGCTTACCTAGCCGGGGAATAAGGCCTATCCCGGCTGATAGCCCGAGTCATACACAGCGACCAACAACTATGAGAACAGAAATAGAAAATATGTTCGCTTCACTCAGCTGAGCTCAGAGGTGTCTACTCACTAATTGTAGGAGTTCATATACGACTCAGTGTATGAGTGGACAAAAACCAACGAGAATTTCCCAAAAATTTCATAAAGATTTTGTCATATTTTTCCACACTGATGAGAGCCGTCTGGCGATTGTTCGTGTCAGAAAAACACAACAGGAGACGCAGAAATAGAAGCATGCAGGTACTAGTAGTAGTGGTAGTATCAAAACTCCATTTCAACATCCCTCTTTTCCCCCAGTATGTCCCTCTCAATTTCGTCAACTGACTTTCTGAAGTATGTCAAGTACCTGCACCAACGGCGTTCCTATAGATCCACCATAATTTTTCAGATGGATAACATCCTTCTGAGAGGTCAGATGTACTCGAAACTTTTATACTTCCTCGTGCAATCCAGCGACATTTAAGTATGTTTATGAACTCTGATGAGCTGATAAATCGTCATAGGGATGTTCAGTATCTACTACTTCAATTCCCCCACTTCGTGGCGCCCGACAAATACTCAGTCCCCTCCACAGGCTAAATAACCCAACTTACTTCGCCAACGACGTCTGCTTCTCTCCATCATCCTCCTTCCGCGACGCCAATTCCGAGATGAGCTGTGCCACAGTAGGGACACTCGCCGGGTTGAACGACTCCGGCTTTTCAACGTCTATTATGGGCACGCATACTCTGCCAGTCTTCGGGTGTATGCAGAAAGGCGCTTTCAGCAGATGGTTCATCTGTTTAGATACGTTTATATCCAATCTTGGATACGCCATCTCGAGCACGATCTCGTCCAGTAGAACCGAGTTCGAACATCGAGCAGTTAACCACTGCCACACCTGAGTGAAAATATTCCCAACTTCGTGGAAAATGTCGTGAAAAAAGAGCAAAACACATACAGAACGGAAGCTCCGTGAAAAACTATGTGGTTGAGTATTCGCCTGAGTCCGAGATCAAAAGGACATATCGCAAGTACAGCTATACCACAATTAACATCAAAATCAGTGTTGAAGTAGTACTAAACCTATTCATCAGCCCTCACTACCTCCCGACTACTCCTCTTAGACGACAGAAAGCTCTTAGCCTCCCCTCTGCCAACCGGATCAGTCGCTGGTATCACCGTATTCACCACTTTCTGTAGTAAATTCTTATCTCCGCCCTCGACCATCGGGGCGTCTAAGAGCCTCTGACCCTCAAGCAGGCCGCACTGAACACGCTCCAATAGGACCTACCACCTTGCCCCACTTCTACTACCTCGGGCATTAGTAGATATTTCCGACATATGTCAATACCTCTCCTCACATGAGGATGCCGCTGTTGAGCAGAGGATCGGATGTGCTTACACCTACGCCAAACCCTCCAGCGTACACTCAAAATCTAGTTTAACGACCACAACAATCACGAGGCGAAGGACCGCTTCCTCTTGTGAGAACAGAGGGAGTTCAGCAACCTACAACATCGCCTTGAATTCGAGAAAGCAGTACCTTCCACCGTTCAACAATTGAAGATACTCCGCTACTGCCGACCTCTGCTCATTGCTAAGCTTCCTCGCTGTCTGCGATAAGAGAATCTTCCGACGACTACAGTAGAAGCCTTCACTGTTCACCTCATCACACACCCAACAATGAACGCCTCTTCGGCCGCTGAATACGAACAGGATATGCTTGAAGCCAAAGTCGTCTCTAAGAGCTCTGTTCAATATCTTCACAGCGCAGGCAATGAATGTCCAGCATAGCTTGCATATCTACACAGCGACACAAACTGGTCAGTGTGAATGCTCATTTCAGTTGTGATATGGTAATAGGACCATATCCTTAAGTGTCGCCTACACTAGAACCTTTGCAACAGTTTCGAACGTCATCGTAATCATCCATATCAATATCAAACACCAACTCCCTCTGCTGAGGTTGGAACCCTCCACCTGTATAAGGCCTCACTCCCTGCGATGAGTTCAACCGCTGCACTCACCACTGCCGCCAGTGAGGCCAAACTGCTGGTAATGGGTGGGCGGAATATTGAATACCGCACCAATGTCAATCTGATGGGAATACCAGGATATAGCAGCGTAGGATAATACCCTCATAGACACGAGACTAATCTCACGAGTGAACCCTATGCCAAAGCACGCGAAGAACGCATGCGGATGATAAAGATGCGCCGAGAGTGAAGGCTACTTTATCCGGCACTCGATCTAGTAAGGCCTTCCTGAAATCATGTTGACCATGGAATGACAGATATCGGCAGTAGATATCCCCAGGCAGTGTGAAGGAGAACTCCCGCCGGAACAAAAAACCCTGACAGAACAAAATAAACGGGTTGACAACTACACCACGAGCATTTCAAAGATGCCGAGGTGTCTGAGGAGTAAGACGACTTTTAGTTCAATGCTATCGTTAGAAGATCGACGAGACCCTCAACCCACAGCAGAAATGCTATCATAAACATGTGCTTATGCGACTCTAGTCACTAGAGGCGATGCCACATACTGCTACCGATGAAGGGCAATAAACGGTTCCCCTCAGAGTGATGAATCCCACACACATATATTACCCCCTTATCAGCAGCCACTTTACCGCCCGGCCCATCCTCCCGATAAGAAAGCCATCTGCAGAAGTCTCGAGAGGGGAAGAGCCTTTCATAATAGATCCTCAGAGCCTCTGGCGTGACCTCCGCAGACTGATGAAATGATCGACGTTAGAGTAAAGTTTTCCAGTGATACCTGCACAGAGTTAGCCATCCCAGCGTCGTTCTCGGTGAGGGCCTGACACGAATACGGAGGACAATAAAGATGATGTAGTGGAGTACCTTGGACATGTATGGTTTCCCAGGAAGCTATACGACTGCAAAATCACACTATACTAATTGAACACTGCTCAACACTTAGCATAAACAATCTTGAGAAAATACGACATACATGGGCTGAGCTCTGAAGCGAGCTTAGGACGCTTCCACTGCAGTCTCGGATAGATGAGAACCTCATATTATCGAGCAAGGCGCGTCTCAATTCGCTAACGAGGATAGAAAGTCGAACGCCTCCCCTGTCCATAACAAGCCTCGGGATAGACCGAAACACACGTGGCTGCCCAGCCAAGTGGCCAATCACCTCAATTCTCAACCTGGCTAATCTACTGTCATTCCGATGCCCTAGAAAGACTCCCAGACAGATGGTCAGGTGAGATGAATGAACAGGGTAGTGACAGTGGTCCTACGCGGCATGGTCTCTGAAGGGTCTCTGGAGGTGTAAGTGAAGGCGTGGAGCTGGTGACTCAGTCCCAGCGTGGAACATAGCATAGCTAGTTATGGTTCTCGAATTAGCAGACGAAGTAAGAAATCACACTTATTCGTTTATACGCGGCTATACTACAAACATACCAAACTTTGAATCTGAAATCCTGCAAATCTGATGCCCCTAATTTTACACATGGCATATATCCCGAATCATGAGACTAAATTACTAGACGGAAAACTGTTAACCTGAGTGCAGGAAATAATAGAATCATTAATAAATCGTCTTCATTATCGCTTACTCAATAAAATATACGTATACGTATAATTTTATACGTATACGTTGTACAGAGCTGGCTCTGACACCTCCTCACTCATCGTGATCTGTTGAGGGATGTTCCTGAACCTGCCAGAGAACATATTAGCATCCCTTGACTGACAGTACACGGTAGTGGTGCTCATGATCTGATAACGCCCACGAGTAGTACATCGATCGATTTACATAGCTATGATTATTCTAGCGATAATGTGCAATAGGAGTGACTTGACGAGCTACCCAACGTATATTTAAGAAGTACTAAAAGCATTTCACAACCTTTAACTTGAGGCGTTGAGGTTTTAGGCGCAATTTAATCTTTTAAAACCGGTCAAATATTCCTTCTAACATTGATAACTACATGATAAATGACAACTATTGATAAGCAGCGCTACAAGGGAAATTGTCGCTAGCATGGTACTTGCCGGGTACACGAAATCACAGTCGATGATCAGCTGTGATTTTGTGTACCCTGTCCCCCTTATCTCATATTCGTTGTTAGTCTCCTAGCCCACACCACCCTTTACAGTCGTTCCGAGTCGGGCTCTGACAGCTTAACGGTGTCAGTGCTCAATGTATGGCCACCGGTGATCGCGGGTTCGAATCCCGGACAAGGCATATCGAATTGTGTTGGGTATTTGTCTATTACATCTACAGTAGGTCCTCTATCTCAACAAGTCGTCCCGCATCCATTATTCAACACTAGACTAGTGTTGAATAATGGATGCAGGGACTAGTGTCACTAGTCGACCAAGCTGTGTCTGCTCAACGTGCCTTGCTTGTGATGATTTATGTACGATAGTTGAAATAGCTACAATGTCAGTCTTTTACTATGAGCTCCTCGCAAAACGTATAGGCGCATAGCTTACGCTATCGAATCGATGAAATTCGACTCCCATGGGATGCAGTAATGACAGTCACGTACGGCGACACAGCAATGTGTCACGTAACGTGTCGTGCATGGCATGCGTGACGACACAGTGTTTCGAGAGCACGTGACGTCATTTGCACTCGAGTAAAAGTATTACAGCGGGATTCCGCTCCAATTTGTACATATTTCGAATCTTAATTTTTCGTCCATATTGTTTTGCGGGCTCTACTTCTTTTCCCTCTGTAGACAGCGCACAAAAAGTCGTTTTTTGACCTTTTCACATTTCCTGTGAATATGTCTGTAGTATTTTCCATTCGGTGACTGTGCCCTCATCCTTCTCTTGTTTTCATGTCGATCTCTACAGCAACCACGTCGTTTATTAACAACAAGACCAACAACGCCCCTGTAGGTTTGGAGACTCCTCTACTACAACAATCGTGCAACAACCCCGACTGCAAGTGCCGTAAGGACCCGAAGAGCACTGCTGCCAGTAGAAAACGCTGCATCAGTTGCACGTGTGGTGGTAATATCGAGACCTTGGATTCTACCTGTTGTGTGTTATTTATTATAACTCCTTTTAACACTCATAATGTCTGTTAAAGTACCTCTTCAGCGGTCGGAGAGTGAACTGTGACGCCAAGTCGAGTGTGCTTGTGCATGCGTGCAAACCGACATTTTTTCCCTTGGCGTCTCGCACGGACTGTGCCGTGCTCATTGAGCTCTCTCGAGTTTAGAATGATTTCCTAGTTAGTTTTTTTTCAACTGAATATTACGATCCTTTCGGATTCGTCCACTGTATCATCATCATTAACCTCTGAGGCCAGCGAAGGCGATAACGGTGTTATCTCAGACATGCAAGCGGGTGCGGTGATAGTGAAGGTTGGAGGGATGACCTGTAGCTCGTGTGTGAGCACAGTCGAGAACGCTGTGAAAGCGCTGCCATTTGTGGACTCTTGCAGCGTGAACTTGGTCACCACTAAAGCGGAAGTGAAGATTCGGGCGGCTGCAGGTAGTGACGTATTCGATGTTATAACCTACAAAACAGCTTCGCATTGTTCAGTTGATCTGAAACCAGGCTCGGAGCCAGTTGAGGAAATAGTGGACACCATAGAAGGTGTAGGTTTTGATGCTGAAGTTATTGGTATTACTAAGTTCGAAGCTAAGGAGTCCACTGAGACTGCTGTTATAAGGGTACGTGTCGAATTCGCCCAAGTTTTGATCAAATGTTGTCGGTCGTCCAGATATCGGGCATGTCCTGTGCCTCGTGTGTGGCTAGTATTGAGCGCCTAGTTGGGAACATGGACGGTGTAAAGACCATTGCGGTTGACCTCATCAAAGGTAGTGCACTTCACCTGAGTCTTCTGTGAATACTGTGTGATAGGTATGGCATCGGTTACGTTGGTCACTGGTAAGACTTCTGCAGAAAAAGTCGCGGAAGCAATAGAGAGTATCGGATACGATGCACAAGTAGAGCACGTTGTGAAAGTACTATGACTAGTAGCTTATCGTTATGATGGTGGTTTTCGTCTTAGTCGATTCCTTCAGCGAGGAGGTCCTCGTTGAGTGGGCAAGTCCCTACTGAGCCGACCGTGTTGAGAGTGTGCCCGAGTTCCTCTACCGGTTTGGTTAACTTTGAGGATGCTCGCAACATACTGAATAGCACTGATGGCGTTGTGGGTCTGTTCGAGTCTAGCAGTGGTCATGCAGGAGTAGTGCAAGTGTCCTATGTACCCTCTAGAGATTTCGGCGCTCGAGATATCCTGGCCGAGCTGGGACCTCAGTGGCAACTGGCTCCTCGAGATCCCTCCGCAGGCTACCATATGGACCCTGTGTTGAAGCATCGTATACTGCTAGCCATCCCTCTGGCAATCGTGGTGGAGGTACTGTCAATGACTATGTTGGGCTCACTGCTGGGTTGTTGGCTACCAGTAGTACTCTTAGTGTTGTCATTCCCAGTACAGTACTACTGCGGTTGGGGCTATCACAAGCATGCGTTCAGAGGGTTGGCTCACTGCAGTTTGTCTATGGACTTCTTGGTCTCTTTTGCCACCAACATGGCGTTTATATATTCTGCAGTTTGGGTATTTCTGAATCTGCCAGACCTTGTTAGTGGTCGTATGAGCTCAGATGATGTGAATATGAACGACTGTATGTTTTTCGAGACAACTACTATTCTTATCACGGTGCTATTGCTCGGTAAGGCCCTGGAGTCTCGGGCAAAGGCAAGTACTGCCAGCGCTCTCGCCGAGTTATCGTCCCAGCGCCCGACTGACGCTACCATAGTTCTGCCAGATGGGTCCTTGCAGACTATAGATGTCGATTTGCTGCACATAGGAGATCGGGTGAAGGTCCTTCCAGGTGGCCATGTACCAGCGGATGGCGTTGTTGTGGTGGCGGGCAGTAACACGTCGTGTGATGAGAGTCTTCTGACAGGCGAGAGTCGCCCAGTTAAGAAGACTGAAGGAGACGAGGTTGTGGGCGGCTCGATTTGTGTAGCGGGTGGTATGGAATTCACGGCAACTCGAGTAGGCTCACAGACGGCGTTAGCGAGGATCCTTCAGCTCGTTGAGAGTGCTCAAGCATCTAAGCCAGCAGTGCAAAGGGCGACTGATAAGGTTGCCGCGGTGTTCGTGCCGGCCATTCTTGGCTTCTGCGCGATTGTAGTGTGCGTGTGGGCGGTGGTAGCGGCTGTTAGCCCTCCAGAGAGAGCGGCTGATATGACGGACTCTCAGAAGGCCCTGATGGTCTTCCGATTTGCATTGTCTATTCTTATGGTCGCATGTCCATGTGCATTGGGGCTGGCGACTCCTACAGCGGTGGTTGTTGCAACTGGAGCCGCGGCAACTCGACTGGGATGCTTAGTGAAGGACGCGCAGGTGTTCGAACTGGCGGGCAACCGTAAGAAGCGAATGGCTGTGGTATTGGATAAGACGGGAACACTGACTGAAGGCAAACCTGGTGTCACTGAAACGGTCGGCTTCGGTGACTTCAAAGCAAAGATGATGCTAGCAGCGGCCGAGGCGAATTCTGAGCATCCCATCGCGACTGCAGTGAGCGCTTGGGCAGCCCCCAATGGTGTTGACTCTTCATTGACGGTTACCGGATTCGAAAATATACCAGGGGTTGGCGTGAAGTGTGATGTTGACGGGCATCATGTTCGAGCTGGTGGTGACATATCGTGGGTAGTGGGTAGCGAGGAGGTGATGAAGCAAGAGAGGGAGGACTATGTGAAGTGGATGCAACGTGAAAGGGATGACGGCTGTGTTGTTGTGGTTGTTGCTGTTGATGGCCGTATACAAGGGTGTATTGCGCTCAAGGACAGGCTTAGACCAGAGAGTGCAGATCTTATACACCAGCTTAGGTGATAACACTATCATCTTGGTCTTAGTGATCGTCTCAACTCAGATACTCCCTCGACCTGGCTGTATGGATGTGTTCGGGAGACCACGAGGCTACCGCCAAGAGAGTTGCCGCTGATCTTGGCATAGATAACGTTATTGGCCAAGCCAAGCCTTCTGATAAGATGGCACTCATCAGGCGACTCAAACTCAATGGTAGTGCTAGTCTTCAGTAGAGATTAGTGATGTTTGCACTGTAGGTAATGCCGTTCTTATGGTCGGTGATGGCGTCAATGATGGCCCTGCACTGGCAGCAGCAGATGTTGGAGTAGCTGTTGGCTCGGGTGTTGACGTGTCCACTGAAGCCGCCCATGTGGTTATCCACAGCCTCAGAGGCTTAGCGCCGTTCATCGAACTCTCGAGGCAAACACTAAAGTGAGTTTTCGATGATATTTCGTAGCCGATATTTTCCGTCAGTTTGGTCTGGAGTCATCATTTGTTTTTTTTTCAGGACTATTTGGCGTAATCTCTTCTGGGCTTTCATATTCAACATTATTATGCTGCCGTTGGCTGCCGGTATTCTGTATCCCTCCACTGGCATTACTCTCCCTCCCGAAGTGGCAGGAGCAGCCATGGCATGCAGCTCTCTTGTGGTCGTCACCAACTCTCTCAGCATTCAATATTGGACTAAGTCGAGGTATGGCCACGATGAGCAACTTACGAAGGCGATCCGGGAAGCGACAAGTGGCCAGGCTGGGAAGGAGTGATTTGTGATCAGTGAATTTGCACGCTATGCCCTATTGCATTTTTCTATTATTGACATTCTTAATGTACCTTCATTCTTGGGGCATATTCACTAATGGTGATCTCGGCTAAACCGCATACATTTCATTAGGCTGTGAAGCAAAAGGCGATCTGCAGTTTCCACCACACGCGAGTTTTGGGTTCACCATAGTGTTTTAGTCCACTGGTCATAGCAATGGCTAACACTTGCCCGTAGGCTTTTGGTGGGATATTTAACTCCACTAGTCAGAGCCTTGTCTGGGAAAATCGATAAACGGTCGGTCACCGATTGTGAGTGGCCTGTTATAGATGGCATTGGTAGTTGTAGTATTGGCCTCGGTCGCAATGAACGAGATTTGGAGCCCCGAGGGGAACTGTTATCGAGCTGCTGGGCTTGGATCCAGCTGTAGCTATTACTTTTAGGGTCCGCAGGATAAGCTTCCATGGTTGACTATTCCTGACGAGAATTCGGCTGTCGAACTCGAAATTGAGGATAATCAAATTTATGCTGTTGACCTTGGTTCTACACTGTTAATAAAGTCGTAGTTCTTGGGAAGAGCTTCTCGACAAGGAGGGCATCCCTTGGAAGGATCTAGTCGGCTTCTCAGTGCTGCGTTCTCTCCTGTTGAGTTCGTATCAGTTGACGTCAATGGGCACGTATGGCAACAGTAGAGAATAGAAGCCTTCCTTCCACGCTTGGTGAACGCTATTTTACTCGACGTGACGTCGACGACGTCTCAAGTCACCATTTCGCTGATTAATGCGAAATTTGTTGCCAGTTTAAGAGCCTGATGTGCGCTTATTATGACTGTGACTGGGATTGCTAAGGATAGTTTTCTAGGAATCGTGAGTACCATCCATCGCTGAGTACACTAAAAGGGTAGATCATGGAACAAAGGTTGTCCCTAGCAAGATACTCTACCTCAGGATATGCGCTAAGCTGCAGACCTACATGCTGTATTCACCAATCATTCTGTGTTCCTGTATGATAAATGATAGTATGATATGTATTTAGTACCTGGTTAGTATTCGTTGCAGTTAAACTTTTTTATAAATGTTTGCATCAATATTTAGTCATACTCCTGCTGCTAAGAGTGCAACCAAGGACACCAACGCTATTGCTTCTCTATTGGAGGCTGCTTATGACGGTGACGTTGAGCGTATGAAGCAGTTATTATCTCAGCATTCGGACCTCACTGTGAACACTTCTGATTACGACAAGCGAACTCCCTTACACTTGGCTGCTGCTGGTGGTCATATTGATGCTGTTGAGTATCTCATCTCGGAGGGTGCTCAGTTGAAGCCTGATCGTTTTGGTATGCTCCCCATTCATGATGCGGTTATCAATAATCGTACTGGTATTAAAGATTTGCTTGCCGAACTCGAACTGAAGCCTGCTGATGATGGTATGTGTTATTTGCCTCCTGAGAAGCTTGCTGCCTTGAAGGAGCAGGTAAAGCATTCGGACATTTCTTTGTCCGCTGAGGAGTTGGAGACTAAAATGATTGAGGTTTTCTCCATCAACATGAAGGAGGGTATATTGGCTGCAGCTTCTCTATGGAAAGAGATCCAATATTACTTTCTGGATCTCGGTCTCCATCCTACTTACTTCAAGCACTTCACGAGTAATGAGATTGCCCGTCATATCCGTTGCCTCTTGGCCGCTACGAACGTTGCCCAAACTACTAGCTCCGATTACATCCACTTTGAAATTGAGGATGACGACTCTGCGTTCTATCTCACCACAATGGAAGCTGAGAAGGTTGCACTCATGGATGGTAGAATCGCCAAGTACGTGTCTAAGTTTGGTGCTGCTGATGGTTTCGCCATCACCTTCATGCAGTCCGAAAAGCCTGCCACGCCTGGGGGTAAATTCCAACTTGGTATTTTCGTCGTTGAGAAGAGGAAGTACACCACTGCTGCTTCTGAGGAGATGATGGATGAGAGTGATCTCAAGCGTGTGGCTAATACGAAGTTCTTGGAAGAGAGGAGTCCCGAAGTTCAGCAATACTATCAGTCTCTCATCAATGAGAGTATGTCTACTCGTAACTCTGTGGTGAAGGTTTTGGATCCCCCAGCTCATATGGTCCAAAAGACCGGAGCTAAGATGCTGCAATTGGCTGCTTATGGTGATGTTGAGCATTCCGGGAATGCGTACATCTCAGAAGTTAACGAGTGCTTCCGTTCCAACGATATCACTCCTAAGAGGTTTTATGTCGACACCTTCGCCAATGGTATCATCGTCTACACCTGCTTCTTTGATCCTTGTACTCAGAACAAACTCGAGCAGCTTGCTCAGACTCTTCGTTATGTTTGCCATTTCAAGCACACTCCGAGGAAGTCCGCATTGGTTTGGGATCTTGTATTGAAGAATGAGATAACTCCCGAGCATGCTATCTTCCTCATTACTGCGGCCAAGTTCATCTTCTCCTTCTTCCCCAAGGAGACTCAGGAGTATCTTACTTTGGCTGAGTACTTCAAGAATGATCCTCCCAAGAAGAGTGAATTGGATACTTTATTCCGGAACACTATGTCCAATGCTATCACTTACGAAAGGATCTATGCGGCTCTTACTTCCAACTATACTCTCACTCTACCTATGTTCGACGACTTCAAGAAGGTTGCTGCTGGTGAATGCAAACCTTTCTACAATGAGGAATTGGCCGCAAAGATTGATGACCAAGTTGGATCCCTTCTCGATGCGAAGATCTTGAAGACTCTCTTGAAGCTCAATGCTCATCTACAGATGACCAACTTCTTCAAGCCTACTGGAACAGCTTCTGCAATCGCAATGCGGTTCGACGGCGAGGTCTTGGCTGATCGTCCGAGGACCCTCTTCCCCACCATCCCTTATGCCGTCTATCTTGTCGTTGGCAAGAGCTTCTATGGTTTCCACATTCGATTCACTGAGATTGCTCGTGGTGGTATCAGACTTATTCTATCAAGGGACGGACGGGTGTACAAGAAGAACTGTGCTACTTTGTTGGAGGAGAACTACAACTTGGCCTTCACTCAGCAGTTGAAGAACAAGGATATCCCCGAGGGTGGATCGAAGGGTACCATTCTCATGGATGTAGACTCTCAGAATTTGAACACCAGTGGCCGCGAGGCTTTCAATAATTACGTCGATGCCCTTCTCGATTGCATCCTCTCCAAGGAGACCGGTATTTACTCCAATCTGTCCAAGCCTGAGATGCTATTCTTTGGCCCTGATGAGAACACTGCTGGATTCATGAAGTTGGGTGCTCTGAGAGCGAAGGCTCGTGGTTACACATATTGGAAGTCTTTGACTACCGGCAAGTCTGACGTTCTCGGTGGTATCCCTCATGATAAGTACGCCATGACTACCAACTCCATCCATCCTTACGTTACCGAGCTTCTGGAGAAGTTGGGTTTGGAGGAGTCTAAGCTTACTAAGGTCATGTCCGGTGGCCCCGATGGTGATCTTGGCTCTAACGAGATTTTCATCTCTAAGGATAAGACGATTGCTATTTGTGATGGTACCGGAGTGGCTTATGATCCTCAAGGATTGAATAGAGAGGAGCTCACTCGTCTTGCTCATCTCAGAGTTGGTGTTGCTAACTTCTCTCGGGATAAGTTGTCAAGTGATCCGAAGGCATTCTTGGTTACCATTGACGATAAGGATGTAACTCTTCCTAATGGAGATCATTTCAAGACCGGTATAGAAGTTCGTAATCACTTCCCGGAGATGGAGTACTTTTCTGCTGATCTCTTCATCCCTTGTGGTGGTCGTCCTGGTACTATTAACATTGGTAACGTTGATAAGACTATGTTCAATCCTGAGACTAAGGAGCTCAAGTTCAAGTATGTCGTGGAAGGTGCCAACTTGTACTTCACTGATGATGCTCGTAGATATCTCGAGGATGCTGGTGTGCAACTATTGAAGGATGCTTCTACCAATAAGGGTGGTGTTACTTCCAGTAGTATGGAAGTGTTCGCCGCTCTTTGCATGGATAAGGCTGATCATGATAAGTTCCTCTGTGCTCGTGATGAGACTTCTACACCTCCCGAGTTCTATGAACAATATGTCCAAGAGATCCTCGCCGCCGTCCGCCATAACGCCAAGATGGAGTTCAACGGCATTTGGAAGACTAACCATGAGGTGAAGTATCCTGATGGATCGAGGTACATCCGCAAGACTGATGCTACCATCTTATTATCGAGAAAGATCAACGACATGCAGACCTACGTCCTCGGTGTACTCGAGAAGCACGATCCTGAGAATGATTGGATGATTCGTGCTGTCCTCAGACGTTGTGTTCCTAGATTGCTCCTTGTTCATTGTGGTTTGGATAAGATCATCGAGAACACTCCTGAGGCTTACCTCAATGCTATGGTAGCTACTTGGATTGCTGACGAGTTTGTCTATGCTAACGGGCTCAAGACTAGTGAATTCGGTTTCTTCCAATTTATGCGTTCCCTCCAAGATGAGTCCAAGGGTGAAGTTACTCCCTCAACCATGTGAATATTTTATCATCACCGTTTGTTCTATGTTTAATAACAGGCAACATCAGTTGCCATTCATTTTTATGATTAAGACTGGCATCCTCGCTGGTACGCATTAGTATGAAATCTAGCTTTGAGTTTGTCCGTCAATGTCAGTTAGTCAGTTGCTCAACTACGTCGGTTTGTCGCTCAAGTATCAACTCTGGCCGCAGGAAGGCTCTGTGGCAATCAAATTGCTAATCTGTGGTGTCTCTTGACTGCCACACTTGAGTCGAGATATGGCTACGGAATATACAAGTAGCTCACACGCAAACAATCACATCATCCCGTGACGAACACAATAAACGAAATCGTCACTGAGCCTATCGCCGTAGAACCTTCAAATTTGCCTTGGGACGGTAGGAAGCTCGATTTCGTGTTCGAAGGGATTTGACTTCCGATTTTACAACCATCCACTCCGTCATAGGACTTTCATCTTCCTGGAGTACTCGCTGGTTCCTCATTGAAAAGATTCTTTTCCGTTGGTAACATCAGGATGTGATTGGACTTTGATAGCAAGTTGAAAACATCTTCTGATGACAAACTCATCATCAAGCGCAGATGCAAGTGTTGGGTTTCTCACCGTGGGTGGATGACTTGACCAAGAGGATCTAACACCTCGGGTATACCGGTCCTCGGATTGGCATGTAACGGGTTCGAGCAGATGGAGCGGAAGGGTGTAGTGTGATAGTGGAGCCCACTGACTGGATAACACAAGTACTGATGAGCTTGTAGAGGTAGCTGAGCTACGGAGACTTAGGGGAGTGACTCAAGAGGAGGGGGAAGGGTGCCGTGCCCTCCTGGGCGAACATCTATCATCATTAGCTCTAGATCTCAGTAGCATGCAAGCACATTGATGTGCGCGGGATCCCATAACAGGCATGCTGATGCGTGATAACTTATTCCGCACACATATACACGCGCAATCAGTAGATCTTTGCTAGCCCGATACACACTGAACAAAGCAGTACTTCGCATTCATCTGCACCATGCTGGTCAACTGGGGTTGGCGCTATGGATATTCTACCATATTGTAGCCATGAACCTCCATTTACCTCCCGTTGGGGCGCCTACAACATGCGAATTGGCGCCCACGGCATGCAAGCTCACGCCGGCACCGAGAGATTCCCCCTCCTCGTATATATTTGAAATTTGTACTTCCTCGCATCATCGGTTGCCATTAAGATACGTATACGACGGAACTCTAAATAGCACAGAACCTATTGATGAGTACTGGTAGAAGTTATACAGCGCCTGAACTGGAGCGGAGGGATATGTTTGTGCTGCAATGGCCCCGACGAACCACGATTGCGCACGTTACGTGCGCATACATCCACAAAGTGCTACCTTCGCGGGTACATCAGTCAACTTAAACCCACGTGCTACGATGTTTACTAGCTATGTGCTGTTGCTGCTCTCGATCGACTTGATTGTGGTATACGGTATGTATCACGGACTTCGTCCAGGAGGGTTTCTCTATGATGGGCAGCGGGGGGATGGTCTTTTCATAGTTTACGACGTCTCCGAGGACAGCCAAGTATCTATGACCATCTCCTGTGATGGGCGCCTTGCTGTGCCACCGGGCCTACCTGGGTATATAACTAGGAACCTAACCCGAACAGGTGACGACAACTTCAAAGTAGATTGCCTCAAGGGCGAGCCCCAATTATGGTATAAGCAAATAGAGAATGTATGTCCTAAGTACAAGCTCAAGCCTCCTGTCGGTCTTGACTCCATCATGTTCTATCCGACTAATGTTGCTTTCATGACGTTTTTTGGCCGAATCAAAGTACTGAAAATGCTTTATGGTCCACAGCGCGGTGGTGTGTACGCTTATGTTGACCAGATTCAGCATTTTGGTGTTACTTTCAATATAACCATAATCCCTCCTGGAACCTTCAACCCGAATATTGTCAATTTCGAGATTAAGTGTCTTCAGAACGATACGCACAAAGTGCTACCGTTCGGGCCGTACGAGTTGATCCTAGACGGATGGGACAAGCCACGCAGGATTTCCTATCCTAAAGGTGAAGTCATGAAGATATATGACACCATCCATACGGCCTGCCCGGATATCGGTGGACTTCAACCTGGTGACCTTCTGGATGTCGGGTTTGCTACCAGTAAGACTATCTATGTGAACCTATTTGGCTCCTTCCTGCCATTGACCACGCGAGGTTAGCTGAATTGTGTCCAACACATCTCAACAATCTCGATAGTGGTGATGTCTACAAACTACTATACAATATTCAGGGAGTGATCTTCGGCGAATCGTCATTTTTTATTAACTCCTCTAAGCTGTGAGCTACAGCCCTATACTCTTCATTTTTTGCCGCGCCGTTTATGACCATGCTGTCGCTGAAGACCATGGACGCTGACGCTTTTGAGACGGTGCCCCTCGTTCTCTCTCATTCCCCAAACTGAGATGAACTATGATGACGTTTTTTCATGGCAAAGCAACGCCTGGGATATGGGATGGTGATAATCACGTATGACCAGCTAACCAGGATATGCTATCAGTTACACGGAACCGTATGTTCTCATCGGTACATTCTTTTCGAAGTATCTGATTGAGTTCGGGCAGTAATGGGCATAACTCGGTGGAACTTGCCTATACGCGCTACATTGCATCTCCAAGATATTAAAGGCGATAAGATCGAAATTGAAATCCCTTCCGACCCGAAATCGAGCTTCCTATCGACCCACGGCAAATTTGAAGGTTCTACGGCGATAAGCTCAGTGACGATTTCGTTTATTGTGTTCATCACGGGATGATGTGATTGTTTGCGTGTGAGCTACTTGTATATTCCGTAGCCATATCTCGACTCAAGTGTGGCAGTCAAGAGACACCACAGATTAGCAATTTGATTGCCACAGAGCCTTCCTGCGGCCAGAGTTGATACTTGAGCGACAAACCGACGTAGTTTAGCAACTGACTAACTGACATTGACGGACAAACTCAAAACTAGATTTCATACTAATGCGTACCAGCGAGGATGCCAGTCTTAATCATAAAAATGAATGGCAACTGATGTTGCCTGTTATTAAACATAGAACAAACGGTGATGATAAAATATTCACATGGTTGAGGGAGTAACTTCACCCTTGGACTCATCTTGGAGGGAGCGCATAAATTGGAAGAAACCGAATTCACTAGTCTTGAGCCCGTTAGCATAGACAAACTCGTCAGCAATCCAAGTAGCTACCATAGCATTGAGGTAAGCCTCAGGAGTGTTCTCGATGATTTTATCCAAACCACAATGAACAAGAAGCAATCTAGGAACACAACGTCTGAGGACAGCACGAATCATCCAATCATTCTCAGGATCGTGCTTCTCGAGTACACCGAGGACGTAGGTCTGCATGTCGTTGATCTTTCTCGATAATAAGATGGTAGCATCAGTCTTGCGGATGTACCTCGATCCATCAGGATACTTCACCTCATGGTTAGTCTTCCAAATGCCGTTGAACTCCATCTTGGCGTTATGGCGGACGGCGGCGAGGATCTCTTGGACATATTGTTCATAGAACTCGGGAGGTGTAGAAGTCTCATCACGAGCACAGAGGAACTTATCATGATCAGCCTTATCCATGCAAAGAGCGGCGAACACTTCCATACTACTGGAAGTAACACCACCCTTATTGGTAGAAGCATCCTTCAATAGTTGCACACCAGCATCCTCGAGATATCTACGAGCATCATCAGTGAAGTACAAGTTGGCACCTTCCACGACATACTTGAACTTGAGCTCCTTAGTCTCAGGATTGAACATAGTCTTATCAACGTTACCAATGTTAATAGTACCAGGACGACCACCACAAGGGATGAAGAGATCAGCAGAAAAGTACTCCATCTCCGGGAAGTGATTACGAACTTCTATACCGGTCTTGAAATGATCTCCATTAGGAAGAGTTACATCCTTATCGTCAATGGTAACCAAGAATGCCTTCGGATCACTTGACAACTTATCCCGAGAGAAGTTAGCAACACCAACTCTGAGATGAGCAAGACGAGTGAGCTCCTCTCTATTCAATCCTTGAGGATCATAAGCCACTCCGGTACCATCACAAATAGCAATCGTCTTATCCTTAGAGATGAAAATCTCGTTAGAGCCAAGATCACCATCGGGGCCACCGGACATGACCTTAGTAAGCTTAGACTCCTCCAAACCCAACTTCTCCAGAAGCTCGGTAACGTAAGGATGGATGGAGTTGGTAGTCATGGCGTACTTATCATGAGGGATACCACCGAGAACGTCAGACTTGCCGGTAGTCAAAGACTTCCAATATGTGTAACCACGAGCCTTCGCTCTCAGAGCACCCAACTTCATGAATCCAGCAGTGTTCTCATCAGGGCCAAAGAATAGCATCTCAGGCTTGGACAGATTGGAGTAAATACCGGTCTCCTTGGAGAGGATGCAATCGAGAAGGGCATCGACGTAATTATTGAAAGCCTCGCGGCCACTGGTGTTCAAATTCTGAGAGTCTACATCCATGAGAATGGTACCCTTCGATCCACCCTCGGGGATATCCTTGTTCTTCAACTGCTGAGTGAAGGCCAAGTTGTAGTTCTCCTCCAACAAAGTAGCACAGTTCTTCTTGTACACCCGTCCGTCCCTTGATAGAATAAGTCTGATACCACCACGAGCAATCTCAGTGAATCGAATGTGGAAACCATAGAAGCTCTTGCCAACGACAAGGTAGACGGCATAAGGGATGGTGGGGAAGAGGGTCCTCGGACGATCAGCCAAGACCTCGCCGTCGAACCTCATTGCGATTGCAGAAGCTGTTCCAGTAGGCTTGAAGAAGTTGGTCATCTGTAGATGAGCATTGAGCTTCAAGAGAGTCTTCAAGATCTTCGCATCGAGAAGGGATCCAACTTGGTCATCAATCTTTGCGGCCAATTCCTCATTATAGAAGGGCTTGCATTCACCAGCAGCAACCTTCTTGAAGTCGTCGAACATAGGAAGAGTGAGAGTATAGTTGGAAGTAAGAGCCGCATAGATCCTTTCGTAAGTGATAGCATTGGACATAGTGTTCCGGAATAATGTATCCAATTCGCTCTTCTTGGAAGGATCATTCTTGAAGTACTCAGCCAAAGTAAGATACTCCTGAGTCTCCTTGGGGAAAAAGGAGAAGATGAACTTGGCCGCAGTAATGAGGAAGATAGCATGCTCGGGAGTTATCTTATTCTCCAATACAAGATCCCAAACCAATGCGGACTTCCTCGGAGTGTGCTTGAAATGGCAAACATAACGAAGAGTTTGAGCAAGCTGCTCGAGTTTCTTCTGAGTACAAGGATCAAAGAAGCAGGTGTAGACGATGATACCATTGGCGAAGGTGTCGACATAAAACCTCTTAGGAGTGATATCGTTGGAACGGAAGCACTCATTAACTTCTGAGATGTACGCATTCCCGGAATGTTCAACATCACCATAAGCAGCCAATTGCAGCATCTTGGCTCCGGTCTTTTGGACCATATGAGCTGGGGGATCCAAAACCTTCACCACAGAGTTACGAGTAGACATACTCTCATTGATGAGAGACTGATAGTATTGCTGAACTTCGGGACTCCTCTCTTCCAAGAACTTCGTATTAGCCACACGCTTGAGATCACTCTCGTCCATCATCTCCTCAGAAGCAGCAGTGGTGTACTTCCTCTTCTCAACGACAAAAATACCGAGTTGGAATTTACCCTCAGGCGTGGCAGGCTTTTCGGACTTCATGAAGGTGATGGAGAAACCATCAGCAGCACCAAACTTGGACACGTACTTGGCGATTCTACCATCCATGAGTGCAACCTTCTCAGCTTCCATCGTGGTGAGATAGAACGCAGAGTCGTCATCCTCAATTTCAAAGTGGATGTAATCGGAGCTAGTAGTTTGGGCAACGTTCGTAGCGGCCAAGAGGCAACGGATATGACGGGCAATCTCATTACTCGTGAAGTGCTTGAAGTAAGTAGGATGGAGACCGAGATCCAGGAAGTAATATTGGATCTCTTTCCATAGAGAAGCTGCAGCCAATATACCCTCCTTCATGTTGATGGAGAAAACCTGAATCATTTTAGTCTCCAACTCCTCAGCGGACAAAGAAATGTCCGAATGCTTCACCTGCTCCTTCAAGGCAGCAAGCTTCACAGGAGGCAGATAACACATACCATCATCAGCAGGCTTCAGTTCGAGTTCGGCAAGCAAATCTTTAATACCAGTACGATTATTGATAACCGCATCATGAATGGGGAGCATACCAAAACGATCAGGCTTCAACTGAGCACCCTCCGAGATGAGATACTTAACAGCATCAATATGACCACCAGCAGCAGCCAAGTGTAAGGGAGTTCGCTTGTCGTAATCAGAAGTGTTCACAGTGAGGTCCGAATGCTGAGATAACAATTCCTTCATACGCTCAACGTCACCGTCATAAGCAGCCTCCAATAGAGAAGCAATAGCGTTGGTGTCTTTGGTTGCACTCTTAGCAGCAGGAGTATGACTAAATATTGATGCAAACATTTATAAAAAAGTTGAACTGCAACGAATACTAACCAGGTACTAAATACATATCATACTATCATTTATCATACAGGAACACAGAATGATTGGTGAATACAGCATGTAGGTCTGCAGCTTAGCGCGTATCCTGAGGTAGAGTATCTTACCAGGGACAACCTTTGTTCCATGATATGAGCTCAGTCATGATGAATCTAACTCGACCGCCGAACTTGATAGTGACGTGTACGAAGGGGCTATCACTGTGGTAGACTTAGAGCAAGTAAATTGACAACTACTTATCCACATCGCGATTGCCGTCGAGAATCAGTATTATTATTTTTCTAACGTCACCTCTTTATCGCATTGTCCACCCATATGCTTTGTGGAACTATCTTAGTATATACAAGTAGCAACGTAGTTGCCGAGTAGTGGCTTAACGTAGCATCAGTAAATTGTTCAAGCCCAGGGGCAGTATCGTGTTGAAGATGTTCTCTTATTAACAGCTTTCTGTTATACCACAACTTCTCGAAACTCTCAAGCTTTGTGACTCAGTCAAACGACCCACAGTTGATACAAATAAGAAGTCTGCGATGAGCAGAAATACCGAACAGCTCTCCCAGACAGAGTTACCTTACGTAGTTAACTTTTAGTCTACTCTTACGTCTTATTATCAAACTTACTAGCGTTGATCGTTTTTACGCTAGTAGATTGACCAACTCAGTAAAGTCATCATAGGTCCCCACCACACAACTAGGAACTCAAGCTCATCAGATTGGTCAATGGAGATTGTATTCTTCAACTTGCGAGTAGCGATGCGCTGTATCGTAATAACTAGCTTCTTCTAACTCATAAATTGATACTCAAATACTCTCCATTTCAACTACAACAACTAACGATAACCTTCGCGATGAAAGAAAATCGATGTAGCCTTACATAAAAAGGCAACTTCTTACACGAGTCCCTACATAACCACCATATTCACCAACTTATAGTCACTATACTTATGGTGATTTCAGCAGTGATAAAAGGAGAACAGGTGGCGAGGTACACGCCTCGACTTAGTCGTCACGATCATCGGTGTCGACGACCGGTGCCTTTTGAGTAGGGCCATTATCAGCTTCCTTCTGACTGCTTGATCTGCGGCTTCTAGTATAAGTGCCGTCCTCCTTCAAGAATTGATCCTCACGAACGAACATCTTACGTCCTTGGAACTCGTAACCATTGAACTTTTCTGGAAAAAAATATGGTAAAAAACTCGAAACTCTCACAAGTACTCACCAATAGCCTTTTGAGCTCCTTCAGCATCTTGGAAGAGGATCGTGGCGAAGCCCTTCGACCTTCCATCCCAACCCTCGGCCACATCGACGCGAATCATTTCTCCGCATTCGCGGAAAAGATCCTTCAAGTCTTGCCAGGCGGTCCTCCACGGTAACTAGAAGGGAATAAGTGAACAAAAGAACAGCGATAGAAAACGACTTACATTGCCAACATAGATCAACCTGTGAACATCCTTCTCGCCGACCTTCAAGGGACGGATTCTGTCTCGACCCTTGAAGCCTTTACCCTTCCCTTTACCTGAGAAACAGTACAATGAACCGTGAATTGAGAGATGAACAACTGACCCTTTCCTTTTCCACCCTTGCCCTTCCCCTGTCGGGTAGCAGCAGCAGCATCTCGATCCATCTCCTCGATGGGCCCGCGGTCCTCTCGGACGAATATCTTGCGTGTGCCGACCTCGGTGTCATTGAGGGTATCAATAGCCTTCTCAGCAGCTTCCTCGGTCTTGTATTCGACAAGACTAAGCCAACAACAATTGAAGAATTGCGACGACTGAGTGACTGTGACTTACGCGCAACCTTTAGATCTGCCGTCTCTACGAGTCAAGATGTCGACCGACTCCACCTCACCAGCGGACTTCATGTGATCACCAAGCTGAGTCTCAGTAACCTGACGGAAGCATGCTGTAACGAAGCAAACGCATACTTTCATATGGGCCCTTGTGGGCTACGAAAACGAGATACATCGATATGGTTAAAAGAGCAAGTGAAAGAGATGATGTATAACATCGAGGAAGCCAGCAGAACGACTAACCACAGTTATAATGGACCGGGGGTACATCTAGCTATGCGATGAAGGGTCAATGCAATCAATGCACTCGAAGGTCATTCATGAAGGCCCTCAAGGGTCGTCGTTTTACTCACCTCAAAATCCAGACTGCCAACGTACACACAACAAGCTTGGTTGACCATTTTAGGGGATTAGCGTCGCAATGAACCTCCTTAGTTCTTCAAATGCTTCTGAAGTATGACGTCCGAAGCGGTTCAAGATTGCATCTTGCAACCTTGCATTTCCTCAACGCAAGTGCGCAACCCTCGTTACTCGTTGACAATTTTGATCCCAATGCCGCCGGTCGTGGAGTATTCGGCAACACCTCATGTCTCGACGAGCTCGTGGAGATCCTCAGGGAAATCTAGGCTGTCCCCCAGGATGATGGACTTGAATCAGCCAGTAATAGTCGTAGTAGTGGCGATATTAGTAGGGGTTTATGAGGAATGATGTCAGTGATAAATATAAGTTTGCAAGATGACCATATGCACTGGTACTTGGTCAGAACTCCAGATTCGAAATCCAACATTTGAAATATGTCTACCCCGAGAATCGATCCCACGCCTTATGTATGTGAATCCTGAACATTATCCACTTGGCTATTTTTACCATATGATAATTAGTAATACTGTCAGGTACTTACCTATCGTTCTGCAAGGACGCCGTCCTTATCGTCCCGCGCCCGAAGACGACGCTTCAAGCACGCTTCTGTTGCCATCCCCAACTGCACCCAAACCACCACCCACTCTGCCACTGAGGAGCCCCATGGGGAGGATAGTGATGCTACCTCTCAAGATGGTCGAGAGTTCACCTCTACATTCAAGGATGGCAACGATAGTAATGACATTTTTATAAGTCTCGATTCCCATCATCGCGACCTAGGAGTGTTAGCAGTGGCTCTCACGTCGTTGTTGAGAAGGGCAAGATGGTAAAAGTTGTTGGTGAATGACTTTTGAGGCGCTTCTGCAACTCATCTTGGAATAGCATACATTCGATGGACAGGAAGCGCTAATGAGCCGTTGTCACCGTTGATGAATTGTTCACAATCTTATAACGATCAAGCTCTACAAGGGAAATACGTTCCCTATGTTCAGTCCGGCTTTGAGCCTTTCCTGACACACTAGGTATCTTCCGAGATTCATGCTGGTGGTCATCCCAACATTCTGATCTCGATGCTGGTACGCAATCGGCAGTTGCCTATTCGGTAGCCGATACGCTGAGGATGAGCATTGCAGCGAAACTGAGAGATCTCCAAGAAGAAGTCGTAAGTGCTGGCAAGGCCAAGATGTCGCTACTCGAAGAGGTAGGCGGATGTAGGTTTTAATCGAGCACGTTTCTTGGTATCTACTAGCCTTGGTAGTACTAGTACTTGGCTAGTAGGTAGTAGTAGTAGTAGTAGTAGTAGTAGTAGTAGTAGTAGTAGTAATAGTAGTAGTAGTAGTAGGGATTCAGCTCCAGTTTGCTTAGGCTAGTTTAGTTTTAGTAAGAGTTATGAGAGAAGTTACTGATGAATTTCCATCGTCACGGGCATTCAAGTATTATCTGATTAGCCCACGGTCGGATTTTGTATACGCTTAATATAGAGTGAAGCGGTTTGCCGTTATTGTTGTACTTTTATTCGAATTAAATGAGCACTACTTAGTTGTAGTCATACCACTCCTTCCTCACATCGTCATCAGATAAAGTCTCTCAAAGCCGAACTGAATATCCAACGGATAGAGTACGAGGCCGAGTCGGAGCGCTCCGCTCGGTTGTCTGAGCAACTCACGCTGCAGACCCAACGGGAGGAGGAGAGAAAAAAGTAGTGATTGTGGAAAATGCAATCTCATAGGAATTTGGGTATCCGAAATTATATATGAACTAGGCTTAGTTTTGTAGAGGTTGCCTTAAGGACTATTGTAGATTTAATGTAGAGGAACATCGCGGCATTTTGGAGGATACGCGATAGATACCGAATATAATAGCATACCTACGGCCCTGTGATAGCAAGCTAGAGCAGCAGAGAATGTAGAAAAATACAATTACTAGAACCAAATTGATTCTCTTAGTTTGTGTGAGGTTTGAATGCAGTTTTTGGGGTCCCGATGTTAGTCGTATTGTTTTGAACTCCACGTCATCGTGGCTCTCAATGCCTGTTTGCCTAGCACAGGGGGCGAGAGTCATCCGTCATAGCAAACAAAGAACTATGTCGAATATAGATTATTTTGATGATGTCGATTCTGTGTACTGTGGTGAGATTGGTAGAGGTAGAAAATATAGTAGTTATAGTAGGGAAGTGGTATGAGAATCATGTCAGTGTTAGAAAGTTTCTTATTGTGTGATTTATTTTGTTGCCTCGAAGGCTGGTAGAAATTGCCGTTTGGGGGGTTGAACTTGGGTTGCAAGGTCATTAGCAAGACGTTCCTCCTGCTGAGCTGTATAGTATGTGACTCAGGCAAGTAGAGTTTCTGGTCGAGCAGTGTAAGAAGTTGCATTACTTGGCCGTACATCGTGAGGAGCAGAGGAGGCTGGTCCAAGAGCAGCTGGACGAACATATGGAGGGAACTGATACGAAGGATTTCCCAGAGGTGTGGTATGGAATTATGATGAACATAGATCTTGGTTTTTCCTGTGTGGGATTGTATTTTGGCTTTCCGCAGCTGAGCTCCAGAGTTTCCTCGCTCACTATAGATGTTCTTATATGAATTCGGGTAGGAGTGTACAGAAACCAATAAAATTCTCCCAAAATCTTGTTGGGATTTTGACATTCGCCAAAATATCGCGGAAATCACGTTTTCACGCCGCTTCAAGTAAAACCGGTGAAACTCTGCCGTATCAGCAACATAGGTGATTATGTGAGTAGGGGTGATGAGAAATTTGTTAGGTTTCCGACCGGTCTATGGTAGAGGACAGCACGACTAAGCACGACTGCATACGGGCTACTATACTACGGCAAGAGTTGAAAATTCAGGAAGTATGATGAGCAGTGTTTGAGGAATATAAGTTCGCTTTCCTCAGCTGAGCTCAGGAGTTTCCTAAACTGATCATACGAATTCGGGTAGAAGTGTGCAGAAACCAACAAAAATTTTCCAAAATTTCCTCATCACCAACACATGTGGTTGACCACTGAATATGACATCATTTTATATGCATTTTCCACTATGGGAAGTCATCACTGAGCTACTCGTGTCAGACTGTGATCGAGCAACTTCGGAAAGATCTCATTGATGCGAAGGCGACTATAGTAAAGCTGGAGGTTCGCTTAGTGGATGCGGCGACTGAGGAGGAGGAGCAAGCAGAGGTAGTAAGTAGTGTGATTACTTGAAGAGTGATGGAGATTGGAGTCTTAATATTTTAATATCACTCCACGGATTGGTATAGTTGGTAGCTATCGTGAAATGGTTGTCTATGCATATATACTAGGGTCTACTACACGCAGCTGTACTGGTTGGCTGCAGTCGGAGAAGCACATTATCGATTTTTTGGCTATCGTACTCAGTAATGAAACAGAAATGATTACAGATTCTGGATCTACGCAAAAATTCTCAATCGTATAGTCATATCGGTTTTCTCTGCCCGATCATAAAAATCGATTCCTCTTGAGTGGCGATCATTTGTTTGGTGAAAAGATGAGTAGTGTTTATAATAGATTAACATATTACTGCAGAATTCTCGGACTGGTTTGATATTTTTCCCGAGTTTTTTGTTAATTTTGCACTTTTTTCGGGAAAATGGAGTTTCACCCTAGTGATATGGAAAACACTAGTGAAAAATATATTTCACGACTACTACAGGCCGCGAATATCGGATTTTTCATGGAGTATTACCGTACTTCACGTAAAACGGGTGAAACTTCGCAATGTAGTAAGATGGCGGGTCATTTATAAAATGTACTAGTTTGTATTAACGAGGTTGATTACTTTACGTTATGTTCAGTAGTAGTGTTAGCAGTGGGTATTTGTGGTCACCAACAGGTACCATTAGTAGGCTGCAGAAGCGATGTGGAGTCGGTGGATTCTAGTAGTGAGTGTCAGCAGCAAGGGCAGCAGCAGGAACAGCCTCGGGTCAAGTTGACTATATCCTAATAGTTGTATAATGTTATTGTTGTTACACTACTGCTACTAGTACTACTAACATGTAATATTCATGCTATGAGTGATGGATTTGAGTTTGATATTCAATATTGGATCGGGCAGCGGGAACGGAGGTCATTGAGCTTATGAAAGCATGGAAGTCGCTGGTGGCATTGTAATGATTTTGTGGCGCGCGACGGTGAGCTATTCGGAGTGCTCTCACCAGCATGAGAAGTGAGCGGAGTGTGGTAGTAGTAGTAGTAGTAGTAGTAGTAGTAGTAGTAGTAGTAGTGGTAGTAGTAGTAGTAGTAGTAGTAGTAGTAGTAGTAGTAGTAGTAGTAGTAGTGGTAGTAGTGGTAGTAGTAGTGGTAGTAGTAGTAGTAGTAGTAGTAGTAGTAGTAGTAGTAGTAGTAGTAGTAGTAGTAGTAGTAGTGGTAGTAGTAGTAGTAGTAGTAGTAGTAGTAGTAGTAGTAGTAGTAGTAGTAGTAGTAGTAGTAGTTGTTGTTGTTGTTGTTGTTGTTATTGTTGCATATTCTTTCCCGAACTGTTAGGAGGGGGGACAGGTTATAGACTTTGTACAGTCTCTTCATACACTTCTGAAGGAATCTTGAGGGTCTCGACTCGATCTTGAAAGCTGCTGCGAGCAGTGTGAGAAGTATTCATATGGGCAAGCACATGCGTCGCCGACAATGTAGAAATTCTGAGGAGGTTTTGGGAAATTCTTGTTGGTTTCTGTACACTTCTACCCTAGTTCGTGTATGAGTTCCTGAGCTTAGCTGAGGAAAGCGGACGTATATTCCTCCAACACTTTTCGCGGAGTCTACGAAAACTCACACTGCGCCAAGTTGCCTTCCTCTTAGTGGTATTGAGATCGACTGGCAACATTTTAATCAGTATAGTTTCACCCGTTTTACGTGAAGTGGCGTAATACTCGGTGAAAAGCGCGATATTCGCGGTGATATGCAGTAGTCGTGAAATATATTTTTCACTAGTGTTTTTCATATCACTAGGGTGAAACTCCAATGAGCTTGGAGGAACCGCTCCATCATAATTTTCTTCCGAGTAGGGTCGTGTTTGTGAAATGCTGAACATATCTTTATAAAGACTAACCCATTTAAATTCAATGGCTAGCGAAGAGTACGATATGAATAGCGCTCCCTGAAGATTCCGCTGGACGATGAGGTTTCACCCGTTTTACGTGAAGTGGCATAATACTCTGTGAAAAAATCGACATTCGCGGTGATATGCAATATATTTCTCACTAGTGTTTTTCATATCACTAGGGTGGTGAAACTCCATTATGAAATATAATATCGGTATTCTCAGTATCTTGCACCTCTATCTGTGATGTTGTAGTTTCTTCGCATTCATGTCAGCCGCTCGAGCATGCTCACGTCAAGAAGAATCTTCACTACCTTTTTCATCTGTCTCTCATCATCCTACGTCCGCTTCTGACACTCAGGAGTGGTTTTTGGATGGACCTGTGGCATCAATGATAGTCGCTTATTTGCCGGAGCCAGTGCGGTCGTGGGAGACTTTGACGTGTGTGTGCAAGTCGTGGGCGGCCCGGCTTATCAACTGTCGAGATACGGCTAGTGAGCGAGCTAGATGTCCTATGAGCGTTTCGTTGCGGCCTCGAATTTGGCACGCACTGCTTCTTGATGAGGATATAATGACGAGGAATATCGAGGAGGATTCGATGGCTTATTATGATTCGTGTTGGCGAGCCTCTGCAGAGGAGGGGGGTAGTAGTGTTGCTGGTCAAGTTTGGCGCGATGTTGTGCGTACCGAGCCGTGCGCGAGTTGTGTTAGCTGTTTCCATCATCGCCTTTGGAGAGTACTCATGGCGACCTCAGAGAGGCTCAAGTCGGTGGGGTACTGCCAAGGGATGAATTATGTGGTTAGTGTTCTATTGAAAGTTAACTATAGGAAAATTGGAATGGTACGCAAACGCAGTGATGATAGTGAGGACGAGGATCAGCTGTGTGTTGAGGAGGCGGCTCATAAGTGGGGAGAGGCCGTAGACTGTCAGGCGTGTCCAGTAGATGAGCCTGAGGTCATGACTTTCCGGAGCGCTGTTTCGCTGCTGGTGCGGTATCAGATGGTGAGAATGTTCGAGTTGAGTGACAGGTTTCGACTTTCTCTATGGACGTTTGACCGTCTTCTCGAGGCCTCGTTGCCGAGGGTTTACGCTCTGCTGAGGGCGGCTTTTGACGGTCTGGGAGTCCCCACGTCATTTTATGCATCGTCGTGGTTCCTTACGTTGTTCGCATCGGATTTGCGAGATGAGGAGGAGGCTAGTGAGAGAATCTTGGATATGTTTTTGAGTAGAGGGTGGAAGGCAATTCACCGTATTGGACTGGTCATGATGGAGGCGGCTTTCGTTGGAGACGATTTCAGTCAACTAGAATCGACTGATGGTAACGATTTACTCATGCTGAAGTTGAAGTGCCTCCCTGGCATAGTCATCAGCGAACTCACAGTGGAGGAAGTTTTGCGGCGCAGTGAGGATTCTTATGGTTGGGTGTCTACTAGGTTGCTCGGAATGCTGGAGAATGCAGCTCAAGTCGAAGGAGGCGCTCGACTGGTTCTGTCCCGAACACAAGGCTTTGAAGTACCTCTTAGTGGTACGCCGGAGAGTGGAGGCACTTCTAGCAATTATTGCTCTCGAGGCCGCTCTGAGAGTGTGACAGGCCAGAGCCACACCGGCTGGGCTATTGTTGCTGATGCTCTCCCTGAGCATCAGTTCAAGTTGGATCCTGACGATGACTTCGATCGAGACATCTTTGATAGTGTTGGGTCTAAGAAGAGCTCTGGTCGGTGGTCGTTTAAGAAACGAATATCGACTCGAAAAGCTAAGAAGATTTTGGGCAAGTTGTCCCGCAGTCGATCCGGCAAGAGCCCGCGTGGCACATATCATGTGGTTCGGTCGGAGATGCTGCATGAGGAGGACAATGGTGATGACAGCTCCCCGGAGCGTTTGAGACGGGCGAGCAGGGTCCTCCCAGTTGATTCCAGCCCGAGTCATGATTTCGCGAATGAGAGTGTGGACCAGTTGCGGAACAGTGACAAGAAGAAGAAGCACAGTTGGAAGAAGAATCCGTTCAAGAAGAAAAACTCGGCCAATCATACTTAATCGCTTGATATTATATTCGTACTATTTTACAGGCTTGTAGTACTTAGTGTTCCGTTGTATGTTTTCGCGTGATTAGTGTCTTGTAGCATCTCTTTCTGTCTTTATAGAGTTGTGTTGACGAATTCAATGGTTGGTGACTCGGAACGTTGTGTAAGCGTTACACATCACTGGGTTGGGGACAGCCTCCATGTGGTTGTCCTATAACGTGATGTGTCTCTGAACTCGACATAAGAAGAGGAGAGGGAAAGAGAGAAGCAAACGGAACCACTTGTAAAGCTAAAGGGGTGCACGCATACACATGTGCGTGACTGCGAAGCTGTCTCTTTCATAGACTACACTCCGATCAAAGTTTACAGGTATAGAACATCAACAGGATGGATCGAATGTGTATTATTCAAGTAGAAGTGGACAATTTATGGAGGAAGAATTGCTTCAGTTTTAGCGTTTTAGTTGATGTATGGCGGAGCTCGATGTAGCGCAGGTTTCGCGTTGGTGTGAAAGCCTCGCTCCAGCGGTTGGAAGTGATCTGGCAAAGAAAATCAGTGAGTATGTGGCAAGGAAGCAGGTAGTATGTTTGAAAATTCATCGACAGTTTGGCCGAGTGGTCTAAGGCGCTGGCTTAAGGCGCCAGTGGCTCATCATTTAGCCCTCGCCAGAGGGCTAAATATTCCCCCCCGAAGGGGGGGTTTACCCCCTGGGAGGGAAAATGGGGGAAATGAAATTCCTTCGCAACTGTCAAGTATGAGTAGTCGGGCAAAATCAATGGTAGTTTGTTCTTGACGAGCCGGCTAAATACTATCATTTGTCCTATGATTTGGTCGGAGAGGCCTACAATTATAATGGCTTGGCTGTCAAGTTGCTAGGGCTAATTGCCGTGATTGACCCTACCTCGTTTTCTGTGTCTGACTGGCACTGTCAGTCGTAGTGATAATTTGACGCAGACTTTGTTCTTTTTCCCCTACTACTTGTGTCGTCAATTCGTAGTATTTGAATTATTAATTGTCCGACAACGTACACGCAAGATATCAATCAGTGTCCAGAGGAAGGTGGAAAGGGGTCGGGAATTTTAACAGTGAGCTTCTAGAGCCTTGATAATTCTTTTGAAAATTTCTTGAAAACGAAGCATATTATGATCGTTGATAATTCAACCCTGCGGAGTTTGGCAGCCCAGTTGCATGTTTTGGCATGTTTAATCATAATAGATAATACAGTATCCGAAATGATGGATACTCTAGATATGGTAATCATACTCTGTCCAAGCGAAAATAGCGGTTCATAGTTTTAATTAGGTGAGCTCTATAAATTAGTGTTGGGGGTCCGAGACTCCCGCTGCAGAGTGCATCACGTTGAGATAGTCTTGATGCACTTGTTTACTGACGGTCATGAACCTTGTATCGTGATAATACAAGCCTTGTATTACAAGGACTAAGACATCGCTTGTGGAAGGGGCCAGTGATGACCCATCATCGTGATAGGATGATTTTACCATTTTAACTCTTCTGCCTTGGGATAGTCTTGCACGATTATAATTGACTCACACAAGACGGACAAAGATTTAGGAAGTATACATGATCTGCGCCCCAAAACCAGAGGTTTCCCCATGATAACCGCACTGTTGTTCGAGACGACAGTTGAGACACGCCCAAAACGGGCTGCTCGCGGATAATCATGGGTGCCACCCACAGACTACATTCCTCGGAAAAAGTAATGACACAACTTGTGTCATTGCTTGTGTCACACAAGCCTTCGAGCCAAGAGGCTCCCCCATGATAACCGCACTGTCATCAGAGACGACAGTTGAGACACGCCCGCGAGGGCTGCTCGCGGTAACCATGGGTACCACTCATCCGGTGTTAATCGACATCGGGAGCTGCATCATTTTGGTTGGCCTTACGCTTTGGACGCCTCTTACCAGCATAGCGTTTACCAGATGGCCTAGCTCGCCGATGGCGTTTGCCGGCACTGAACGATGGGAACGTCGAAGCTGTTATCGAGTTCAGCTGAGACGTGAAGGCACGGTTCATGAGACGCAACCAACCACTATCATGCTCTCGCAATGCCTCGATATCAGACAAGTGTTTGACCTGACCCAAATATTCACGCCAGCTTAGTCGATCTGATTGGAACGATGAGCTTGAAGCTGGATCCTGGAGAGTCCTGAGTGGAGCATGCCCTCGTACGGCTTCATCAAAATACTCAGCGATACCAGTAGGATAATCAGGTCCCATGCTGATTCTCACAATAAGGACGAAGCAGAGTGCTGCAGTAACAAAATCATAGCACTGATAGATTGCGAAAGATAACAATGCTTCCAGCGTATTCCCCTTCTCTTCGTCAGACGAGATATCGGCATATGTCCCTGGATCCATCTCGAACCCATCCTCTTCTCGCGGTGCACCACGAAATATACTATCAAATAGTATGGCCCATGTTCCATTATCGATACTGTAGAAAACGGGCGCAGATCTCCGTCGACTACGTGTCCACATATTACTATTCACCCGTAAACAAGAGAAAATATAGTCTGTCACGAATTGCATACCACAATGCTGCTCGGACAGTTTTTTATGACGCAACCTAGGACAATTCCGGTCAATTTGACTCACAATCGGGTAGTGCGAGGCGAGCACACTTTCATCTATACTACCAGGAGTACATCCACGTAGCCACCATGCCAGAACGTCGAGTAGACCGTCCTTCTGCCAGGGAATCACATTTTTGACCAATATAAAAAGACGATGCCTTATGGCACCAGCAATCCTCTCGTTAGAGTAGTGTTGCAGTCGTTTGATGAAACTGCTCACAAAAACCAGAAAGGGAACCTTCTCCCACCCTTCAGGCGACTCTTCAATATCAGGAAAAAAAGTGAAGTCTCGCCACTCTGGTTCTTCGGCATATATGAACGCGTCGGGGGTATCGTAGTTGCGTTCACTGGCAGCGGAGCTGCTAGCTTTCTTCAAAATCCCAACCGAGATGCTTACAGCCAGATGTAGCATACTCAGGAGGAGCTGCAAGCTTCTGGAATACACACCATCGTTGCCTGTATTATTTTGCCAGTTAGATAAACGGTCGATTAAGCGTTCAGTCACGCTGCTCATATCAAAGGGAACGAACGAGGATACTCTGAAATAGATAAAATGCAATATCTTCGATAACTTTCGATTCGAAAAATACCGTCTACGTGGAGACGAAAGAGCATCGTATATATAATGCTTTAAGCGCTTTAACGCTTTTAAAGCGTCGCTTTAATATAATGCTCTAATAGCTGACTATCTAGACATGGTACTGAGCCCTGATCTACACTCTAAGGCCCTGAGTGCCGATGAACGTGTTTGTGCTGAGAAGACAATGAAGATTGTGCGCCATTGCTGCGTTGTCTCCTCCTGTGGCGGGAAAATAGCCCACTTGCGGACGACCCTCTCACAGGCTCATCGTATTCAGTAATACCAATTCGTTGAATTCGTTACGGCTCATTCGGGCCTTTTCCCTCATTACCACACGAAAGACCCTTACATTGATTTCTCACGTCACCACGTGACTCATGTGACGTGAGCACATGTCTCTGGGCGCCACGAACGATTATGTGATGGCTGGGCGAAGGGCCTTTTTAACGCTATCAGAGGATCTTTTTGTCTTTCTTGGCTGCATGTCTTTCTTGGCTGCATGGATGGAGTTGAAGATTTAACCCAAATAATATGCCCAAAACTCACTTGAAAACAACACATACCGGTCAGAAATTGACTCGTAACTTGAGATTCGTAATGGTGACCAAAGAGAACACATCAGATGCTGTGCTCCATAATTTGTGAAAAGAAAAGATTGATATGACGACTGACGGCTTGTAGACCACAGCTTCGAGTACAGGAGCTTCTCTCATCTGGATGCGATGAACGTTGTCCTAGTGATAAACCATGGCCTTACTATATTGAATACGAAGCAGTAGATCAGAGAATTCGCAGGGCCCGACTCCAGGGGCTGAGTAGGCCGAGCCGGATTCATCAGAAGGGAGTGTGATTCTCAGAACCTGTTAAACAAGAGACTACAAAGGCTATGAAGAACAGCACGCTGTGATATTACTGAAAAACAACTTCGAACTCACCTGAAAATCCCTGACTGGAACTATACTTCCATATCTCCTGTCGCACTGGGCAGTGCCAGTTGAGTCATACTCTTAATAAGGGCTGCTCGCAACGAATTATGAGGCAGGAGTAATAGCAATCAGGGATTCCAGGCTATGATTCAGCAATGATGTTAACCATCTCTCACTTATCCAAATCTACAACAAACGGAACCAATTTGTATGATAAGAAGAAGCCGCACATGGCCTACCAATTTCAGCGCTTGATGATTGCTCATGCTGCGTAGAGCACTTGAGTGTTCTTGCATTATTTCGGCATCTTGCTCGATCACTCTCCAGGAGCTTCTTTACAATATCTCCACTCTCGCACCACACCTCGAAGGGAGGATCGTGAACAGGACAGTGGCGATAAAGAGCTCTATTCTTGCCCACTGCTCGAGGATGGAAACGATGCTCGTTCTGGACGTCGTCATAATTCAAGCTGCCACGACTGCACTTTTCTTTTTTTGCCGTTCTCTCAGCGAACAACTGAGGTAGGATATCCCTATCGAATGCAGTCAAGTCGGGGTAC